CGTAAGATCAAAAAGGTCAAGAAACCTAAGCTACCAGTTGCACCGAATGAGGAAATTGAGCAGCCTGAACAGGAGGTTCCACAAGAAGAGATCACTGAAGAACAGGAAGATAACGTTGAAGAACAGGAAGAGATTGTCGAAGAAAAGCGTCAAATAAAGAAGACAAGGAAACCAAAGAAATCTGTAGAAGTGATTGAAGAGCCAGAACAACCTACGGAAGACATTCCACAAGAGGAAATCACTGGAGAGCAGGAGGAAATTATTGAAGAAAAGCGCAAGATTAAAAAGACAAAGAAACCAAAACCAAAGGAAGTAGAAGAAGAAGAAGAAGAAGGAGAAGAACTTCCAGTAACACAACCCGAAGAAGTGAAAGAAATCGAAGAACCTACTATTGAAGCGCCAACAAAAAAGAAGCCGGTTCCTAAAACACAAGAAGTCGAACAGGTAGAAAAGGTTATGCTTAAGCCTGTGCCAAGAAAACAACAACAACTGCCTGATAAGGAACAATTAGAAGAAGTAACATTGAAGCCCGTTGCAAAAACCTCCAGTGTCTCTGAGGCGCAACAGCCCGAAACAACTGAAACAGAATTTGTTGAGACAGAGAAGATTGTTACATTTGAAGACCAAGTTGTGGACGTTACTAAGAAACGCGTTAAAAAGAAGAAGCCCAAAGTAAAACAAGAAACTCAGGAATCAATTGAAGAACCAACTGAAGATACCGAAGAACAAGATGAAATTCTGCAAGAAGAAGAAGAAGAAACCGAGCCTGTGGAAAATGTGGCCGTGGAACAAGTTATTGAAGAAGTAGCTCAAAAAGAGAAGGTTACCAAATTGAAACCCAAAAAAGAGGAAGTTATTGAGATGGTTGAAGAGGTGGCCTTAAAACCAGTGACCCGACCAAAGAAACAATTACCTCAGGAAGCTACAATTGAAGAGGTTCATCTTAAGCCAACAAAACGCACAACTGTCAAGCCTGATGAGGTAAAACTGGAAGACGTTGAGTTGCAGCATGTAGAAAAGTTGGAAGAAGAAGTAGTGCAGGAAGAGAAGCGTAAAGTCAAAAAGGTGAAAAAGCCGAAGTATGAAGATTTACCCGAAATACCAGATACAGAGCCTACAACCTTGGAAGAGGCTGAGCACATTGACATCGAGAAAGAGCCTAAGCCTGAAGAAGAAAAACCACAAGTACCTTGGAAGCGTGGTGAGAAAAAGAAGCCTGTTGAGGAACCCTTAGAGGAGAAGCAATGGCCGACTGGCAAACGGCGACCACTGCCAGAAGAACAGCCTGAAGAGGTACAACTCAAGCCAATTCCAGCCAAGCCCACCGAAGTGGCACCGATACCAGAGAAGGCGATTTCCCCACCTCAGCTACAGCCTGAAGATAAGGTGGAAAGCGCTGAAGAGACATCTGATTTGGAGCCTCTGAAGATACCCGAAGACAAACAACCAAAAGAAAAAGTTAAAAAAGAAAAGAAGAAGAAGCCAAAGTTGAAGAAGGCTACTCCATCGGTGGATGAAGTGTCGGAGGAAGTGGCCGAGCCATTTGCAGAGCCTATTGCTGAGGAGGATCAAGTTGAAGAGCTGCCAGTTGATGATGATAAGCTGGTTGCGGTCTCTGAAGATGTGCAGCCAGAGGAAGAAGTTGTGATTACCGACAAAACACCCGAAACAAAACAGAAGGCGCATAAGAAACGTACAAAACCACTGAAGGAAGCTTCGGTTGAAGAACAACCACAGCTACTGGAGGCAGCTGTTGTCGAAATCGAAAAGGCTGATGAAATTTCTCAAGAGATCTCACAAAAGACTATAACCCTACTGAAGAAGACTGAAGACACAAGACCTCAATTCATAACAACAGAACAGCTAATTGAACTCGATGTGGAAGATGTAAGACGCGATCTCGAAATGAAACTCACTTCAAATATTATTAAAAAGGAGAAACGGCGCGTAGTGCTCGATGACAGCCAACCACTTCCCGAATTGGAGCTAATAACACAAAAACGCATCCAAGAGGGCATTGACAAAGTGGCTGATGAGGAACTTATTGAGGATCAGCAGTTGACTCAAAACTTAGAGGAAACGACAACATCAGAGGTGATTGGCCAGGAGCGAAAGCTTGTCAAGAAGAAGAAGAAGGAAATCAAGCCACCACGCATAACCGAGAAGCTACGACCACGTCAATGCGTTCCCGAAGAGCCTACCGTTCTTGAGTGCAAGGTTGAAGGTGTTCCATTCCCAGAAATCAATTGGTACTTTAACGACATACTATTGTTTGCTTCGGAAAAGTATGAGATAACTGTGGTGGAGCAGGTGGCCAAGCTAAAGATTGCGAAGGTCACCCCCAGCGATGTGGGTGTTTATACCTGTGAGGCCAAGAATGAAGCCGGAGTGGCGACGAGTCGTACCAACATAATATTAGGTGAGTTAAATATGCAATTTGTATCAATCGATGAAACAACTATCAAAATATGTGTAAGTTACTTGAAAGCTTTAAAGAAAGTTTTTTGGTGTCTTAACTATTTAATCTTTTAAAATACCCAGCTAACAAAGAAATCCCATGATTTTGTTCCAAATCACAAAAAACCACAACACTTTAAAATATTTTTTATTCACAATGAATATAGAAAAAGAACAAGGAGTGCCGCCACAATTTACGAAACCACTTAAGATCGTGTTTACAGAAGAAAAAGAACCCGAGCGGCTTAAGGTTACAGTAACTTGTCAGGTCACAGGCAAACCAAATCCCCAAGTCAAATGGTACCGTGGCATTGAGGAAGTTATACCCAACGAAGCCTTACAGATGTTCTATGATCAGCAGACTGGCGATGTGGTCCTGGAGGTTATAAATCCACCTCCCAATGAGGCTATTACCTATTCGATACAGGCTCAAAATCCATTTGGACGCGCCGTTGGCAATGCCAATATCATAAGTCGTCTTGATGAAGTTCCCAAAGAGATCCTTAAAGCACCCACAGTTACGCCATTGAGTGCGGTGGTAATTCCAAACGGAGGCACTTTGCTTTTCGAGGCCAAGTACGATGGAATGCCAAGACCAGAGATCAAATGGTTGCGCAACGGTCGTGAGATAATCGAGAACGAGGACACCATTATAGAAACAACCGAAACCACAACCACAATTAAGGTCATCAATATGACCCGTAAGCGTACAGGCAAATACGAAGTTTGTGCCAAGAATAAGGTGGGTGAGGCCAAGTCTTCGGGCTCAGTGGTAGTCTCAGACCAAGCGCCTGACAAGCAAATCAGGCCACCCAGATTTATCCAACCACTTGAACCGAAGTTCTTTGGAGAACATGAAGTTGCAATACTTGAGGCTGTTGTTGATTCAGAACCGCTTTCATCCTTCCAATGGTTTGTGCATAATGAGCCCATAAAGAGCTCAAATGAATGCCGCATTGTTACCCAGGCCAACAAGTCAACGCTCCTCATTGAGGACTTCCAAAAGAAGTTCTCTGGACCGTTTACTTGTCGGGCCGAAAACGTTGGCGGCTCGGTCACATCAACAGCAACAGTAAATATGCTGGATGCACTGCCACAGGAAGAGGCTGTTGAATTCGAATCGCCACGCTTTATTGAGGAATTGATTCAGCCTGTCGAGGTAATGGATGGTGAAACGCTGCTGTTGACTTGTCAAGTGACAGGCAAGCCCACGCCCCGAGTGGAGTGGTATCACAATAAGGAAAAGATTGCCGAAACAAAGGAAACTACCATATCGCAGGATGCGCAAGGAAATTGTCAGCTGCAAATCACGGAAGTTTTCCCTGAAAATCAAGGCCAATATAAATGCGTTGCGACAAATAAGATTGGCAAAAGCGTCACGAAGACATCAGTTAATATTCAAGGTACTTTTGGATGGTATCAATAGATAGTTGATAGTTAACAATAGAAAAGTAGGCCACGTAGCATATACCATATGCATTACATTCTAAATAGGTTTTCCAATAACTACACTCTTGCCACTATCCTCCTTTTCTTTCTATTTTGAACATTATATATCCTTTCAATATGTTCTTGTTACTAACTCACATCTTGAAGAACTTGCATGTGATACTATCTTGAAAATTGCGTCTATGATGTTTCGAATCTGAATCTATCTTATCAGCTCTCCCAAATTCCTTTTGTAAATAATTTTCCATTTTGCGTTTGTTAATATATTCGACTGTGGGCTCGCCTATATTTAAATACTTTAAAATATTTTTTTAGCATTTGAATATATCCCCGATTCTGAAATCACTGGACTCACAGGATCTGAGGAGGATCTACTTGATAGAGTAAGCGTGATTGTAGTTGAAGAGTTGTCTAGGTACTTGAAGCTAACTTTCCATATATGATAACACCGTTTTAGACTATCTCAATCGACGAACAACCCCCGAAAATAATTAAAAAGCTACCTGAAAAAATCGAACCCAAAGAGGGTGAACAAGCGAAATTGGAAGTTAAGGTTATTGGTAAACCAAAACCAAAAGTCAAATGGCTACGTGACGACGAACAGATATTCGCTTCCGAGGAATATCAAATCGAAAATTTCGAAGATGGCACCTCAGTGCTGGTCATCAATCATGTATATCCCGATGATTTGGGCACAATTAGTTTTGAGGCTTACAATCCGTTGGGAGTGGCAGTCACAACTGCACTATTCGCAGTAGAAGGTACTGTTATGGTTTATGATGTCTATAAAATACGTTTTACAATGTCATGGAAAATTTTTGGAATTGTCAGTAAAATTCTTTTTCAGATCTGCAGCAGCATTACCAAATTCCCTTTTATCCATATCCCCTTTATAATATTTGTATACAATCCTCCTTGATAACATTTCCAACTCGTATTCCCCACACATACAACACTTTCAAACACGAAAGGTTAAATACTTTACATAGAACATATAAGAAATATATAAAAAACAAAAATGATTTACCTATTTTACGATGAAATGTGAATAATATGAAACTATTAACACTTCTACTATATTTCATCAATACTAGGCATCGTTGGATCTAAGGATTATCGCAAGCCAGAATGGGTGACTCACATGGAAGAGATGCAAGTCGCTCTCAAAGGTATGTATTTGAGAATTGAAAAAATAATTGAATTCTACCACTGTTATGTGTATATGTGTTTTAATTTCGTGTTTTCAACACACAAATGTTTTCCGTACTATTGTCTTAAATCACAAACAACATTTCACAAAGTCTGTCACTTCTACTGTCTGTCTCTATTGTATTTGTCCTTGTATTATACAATGTTTCGTAAACCAACAACAGCAACAACAAAAATTATGTGAACATGTCGATTTCGTCCAATGAAGCTTACAAATTTTGTGGCTTAGCCCTTACAGCTCTAAGGCTTATTCCCCTATCCCAACAAATCCAAACGTTAAACAATATTATTGAAAAAGTAAACGCCATTAGAAATAATAGTATGAAATTTTGTTATCGTATATATATTTTCTTACAGTATCAATACCTCATCTGCAAGTAATTGGTTGTGTTCTAAAACTTTTTTATTTTTTCTTTTTTTCAAAATTTCTACTAACACTTTATAAAGTAAATTCCAAGGAAACTATATGACATTCCCAAAACGCTGCTTGGCCTTATGTACATACATATCTATATACATACATGCTAATATGTTAAATTATTTTACTGTTTGATTGCAAGTTTAATTTTTTCAAACGCATTACTAAATCAACAGAAAACAGACAAACAAGTTACATATTACTCAAGTGAACTATATCTGAATTACTCACTGTAAGTACAATGCAGAAGTCACACACTAACTCCTGTTGCTTGTTGCACACTTTTTCTTTGCTATAGAGAGTAGTAGCTAATATATAGTTAAATTATGCAATTTTTATGCTTATAGCTGCTAAATGCTCGCCATCGCTACTTAATGAAATGCGTGACTGCCGTGCGGCCTTTGGCGATACTGCGAAATTCTCAATACAATTTGCAGGCAACCCGCAACCAGGTACTGTATACTCTCTGTAGTGCACTGCAGGTGGCCAGGGCTTGATGGAAGATTGGTTTACTGATTTTGTAGATATACAGTGGTATTTCAACAATGTGCAACTGAGGGCGTCCGAAAAGTATCGTATGGTAGTGCAGGAAACAGAGGCATCGCTAGAAATATTCAAGACTACAAATGATGATTGCGGTTACTACAACTGCAAGCTGATCAATGAGATTGGCATGACAATGACGCGCGCTAAGTTCGACATTTCCTCCACATCTGCAGAGGCAGATGAGATGGAACATGTGAAGACGAAAACAACTGTAAGGAAGAAAGCGGCTAAAAAGGCATCCAGCACAATGGCAAAACGAACTAGTGCCTCTGAATCTCAGACGCTGCATAAGACAGAAATCAAAATAGTGCCAGCAAGTACAGTAGAGACGACAGTGAATATAATCAAAGTGAGACAGGCTGTACCCATATTAGTGGAGCACAGTGAAGTTTCGGAAGTAATGCAAGTCAAAGATCGCAAAATTGCAGATGCTGAGCAACGCAGCAGAATCATTGAAGAAATTGTAGAAGAAGAAGAAGAAGAGGAAGATGTGGTTTCGGAGGAAGAGATCCATGTTGAAAAAAAATACACGTCGAGTAAAACTATTGAGCTTACTGAAACAGTTGAACTAATACGCACAAAAATAACAATGAAAACGATTAAAATCGAAGATATTTATGAGATAAGCCAGCATGAAGAGGTGCAATGGCTGCTCGAATCCGTCGAGGCCGAGTCCTTTGGAAAGATTGGCGAGTCGGCTCTCCGAGATTTGGCCACAATTGGTGTGCTATTACGCTACGGCTGCACGCATTATGAGATTACATACATGTACGAGCAGAACATATTCATATCACTACAGAAGCCCGAATCACAATCGGCTCTAGTTCAGCTAGTGGAGCGTGAGGGGCACGAAGAGCTGATAACACAGATCCTAAGTGAATCTTCGAACGAGGACGAAACAATACTGGCAGCGACAGTCGGCTTCAAAGCCTTTATACGCATGATACAGACGTACGAAATTACAATAGAGACGGTCATACGAAAGTTTCATAGGGAGGATTTCATCTCGCACGATTGGAAGATATGCGGAAAGGAGGTTTGAATTCTGTTTTGTTCGTTTCTGTTTGTTACTGCAGTTGTGTAGACAGTTGAAATGCCAAACAAAATTTGTTTTAAATTTCGTATTGTAACGCTTGAATTGGGGAATTATTTAACAACTGGCATTTCAACTACTTACCCTCACGATGTATATGCTGGAAATTTTAAATATTATCTAGACTGAAGCTCTCAAAGCATTTCCAATTAGTATATTGATGTTTTTTCTTATACATTTTTTTAACCGATTCACTGAAATCTAGAGAATAGTAGAGACATCCCAGATAATTGAAAGTCACGAGGCTATTACGCATGTAAAAATAGGTGAGTGCGGCTTATTTTGTATATAGTATAAATATGAAAATTTTTTAAATGCTTTTATCCATTTATATTTTGAATACTGAAAAGCCATTTTGTTTCTTTTTATTTTCAAAATGTAAAACTGCTTTGTAAAATACCTGCGCTTATGTGCCAATCCCAACAACAAACTTAATCTAACACAAACGTAGAGGAAACTTTTGTCGAGGAACGCACGATAGTTGTCCATGAAGGTTTGAACATAAACACAGATGAACTGTAAATCCAAAATAATACCTACCAGTACTGATGTATCCCAATGAACTACTCAACTACAGTTACTACATAATATTATTACATAAAAAAACCAAAAACAAACAATAATAGATATTGACTTTTAAAATATAACAATTAAATTTTGTTAAACCAAACAAATCATGTGTATATTCTAAAAAGACGCCTACCGAGTACCTAATATGCCCATTAACCATTAATAACCCCCTACTGCTATTATTTTAAATTTGCTATAGCCTGTTGTCATATAAGCTTATTATTGCAAATTAATTTTAAATTTAATTGCTTCTACGTACTGAATACAAGAGTAGAAGGGCTTTTTTTCTGCACGCAGTCTCACAGTTGGTTTCACTTCAGGTAAGTTTTCAAAGAGTTTTCCTTTCGTAATATGTATGTATATTATGTTTGTCTGTTTAGCTTTCGTTTATGCCACAAAAATGCTAAAAAAAAATAAAAACAATATCTATTAATGATAAGTTTCTTCGCTGTCAGACTGTTATAATTATTAAAAATTGCATTTGCTTGGTTTTATGAAGCTTATAAACATTGTTAGTGTATTGTCTTAATAGCACCTCAAAGAAATGCCGACATTGTCATTGTTTAATTACATTACATTCGCAGAAACCACAGCCACAAAAGTGGAAAAACAATTCATACAGCAACAACAAGAACAAGAACAAGAACAAATAATAGGTCAAGAACAACATGTACAAATACAGGCTGAACAAACAGTGCATAGCAAAACCAAAACTAAAAAGCATAAGCATAAACATACAGAAATAATACAACAAGAACAAAAACAACAACAACAAGAAACGAGAGAAACTTTTGAGGAGCAGAGAGAAGCCTTTGCAGAGGAGTCAAACACAGAAGCTCCAACAATTGAGACACTCGAGCAAATTGAAGAGCTATTGCCGTATAGTACAAAACTATCCACCCAAAATCTATCACAGAGCACACATGAAACAATTCCAGTTTCAGTAACTACAGAACTCTCTACACCAGCACCGATAGCGGCACAGGTACAAAATGAACTTTTACCGCAAAAGACTTTAGCAGTGAATGAGGAATGTTTAGCGTTTGATGAGGTTAGTTCTAGTTTGGATCGGTCCACCCCGGCGACTAGTGAGCTTACCGAGCAAGTTGAAGTTCGTGAAAGACACGCAGCTTCTATTACTGAGATGCAGACAAGGGAAACTCCCAAAGAGTTAAAATCTTCCAAAATACCCAAGCTTATTCAAGCTGAGCGCAAAATTAAAGAGTCGCGTCCATTGCTTATTGAAACACCAAGCATCGCGGATACTTTGGGTGAGTTGGAGTCGTTAAAAGCTCCCACCCAGCAAGCACATGGCGAGATCCTATACTCTCATGAGCTCACCTCGGAACAGCAGTCAACGTTGGACAGTGTCGAAAGCTTTAAAACTCCGTCAATTAGTATGGAAAACGCACAATCACAATTCCGTGAAAAAGAAGGTCTTCTGATTACTGAATCATTTAGAGGTGAGACTGTAGCTAAGGAAGCACCAAAAATAAAGCCCAATATTGAGCAAATCTCTCCAAAATTAACTTCAAGTCATAGCCTTGGCGTTAGTGAGTGGCAACCAGAAGACTCTGTAATGGAACTCATACCAGCAGAAGGGGTGCGCGCTGAGAGTACATCAATGTCGATACAAGAGTTTAAAGCATTCAGCACTAGAGAAACCAGGTTATTAGAAAGTGAAGAAGAAATCAGCGCTGGATTTCAGCCTACAAAGTCTACAGCAGAAATTTCAATTAAGCCCGAGGAGAGACCGCTTCTTGTGCAGGAAGTTGACATAATGGAGTCACTTAGTGATGAAAAGCCTTTAAAGCCGCGGCATATTGAGGTTCAGGCTGTACAGCAATTGGTATTATTTGAGGGCCTAATAAATACGACAGCAGAAGCGCGCAGTCCTATTGAAGAGAGCTTGCCAATGTTCAAGACTGACTCACACGAAGCAAATTCGAGTTTGGAGACACAATCACATATCATTACTCAGGAGACTGTCTTCAACGAGGATGGAACACAGGATTTAGCTTTAGAGAAACTACCCAAAATCATAGGTGCCACATCAAGCCAAAGCAGTTGTCTCACAGTTGGTGAGATTCTAGAGATGCAATTGGTCGAAACTACGGAAAATCTAAATAAGCCAACAGTAGAGCCTGCTAAACCTGCGAAGAAAACATTAACTAAGGGCTTTGAGACCGTCGTAGGTAATCAGGAAGCAATATATGATACCCTTGAGTTAATGGATCATGCGTGCACTGAGCTCAATCGAGGAAAAGTAAATATTACAGAAGGAGAGCTGGTTGCAGAAGTGCAGACACAAACTGCTATTGACACGGAGCAGAAACTCTTGTCGGAGGTACCTGACACCGTGAAGGCAAAGCTGAATTTCGTTGAACAGAAGGCATTGGATGTTAAACAGGAAACTGGCATTGAGAAAGAAAACAGTTTTCTTCAAGAAATACAAATACCTGAGCAAGCCGCTATAGAAAAAATAATCCCTGCTGAGCTGAAGGTAAGCAGTGTGTGGGAAGTGCATCCTCAACTTACACCTGTCGATATTCAAAGTGATAATGTTAAACCAGCATCAGCTACTCAAGTTTTTGAGTCAAAACCAGTTGGAGTGATAAGTGAACAAGAATCGCTTAAAGGAATAGATTATCTAAAACTACAACAACAGCCCGAACTCAAGTCTGGAAAAATACTTATGGATGAAAATCAGCAGCCGTTGGAAGTAACTGCTGTGCAGGCTATCGAAAGCTCCGAACTTATCGAATCAGCTCCTCACCAAATAGAAACAAAAGCTCAGAAATCACAAGATACATATAATCATGCGGAGCATATGCTAGTGACAATTTTGGAGTCTACCAAGGAACATGCGACTGACACCAAGCCAACTGCGGCACTAGCAGATTTTACAGTGCCAACTCAAATTGGAACTGATATAACGGAACAAGCATTACTGGAAACCTTACAGTCTCATCAGCAGTCAACTCAGCCCCACCAACAAATATCAGGAACAAACTTTGAGCTTCTGCAGCCCTTAGATACAAGCTCTGTTTTGACTCTAGAACAGGAAATAGCTTTGCAGTCAGATGAACAAAATGCAACTCAAAATGCTGTTATAGAAACCGTCAGAGCTTTACAAGTGCCAAATAAATCAAGCCCCCAGCATTTGGAATCAGTGCAAGAGCTTGGTGACAAAACACAACCATCTGAACAGCACGCTCTAGTCAATATTGGCGAAATTACACTACCTGAATGTGAAGAGGTAACATCATTAGATGCCATAAAAGATTACCTATCACCAGCTTTAAATGAGTCTTTTATAACTAACATGAAAATCATTGAAAACACATCATCTTTGAAAACGACTACAGCTATAGTAAGTGAAGAAACTGGGCATATTGAAGAGCCAATCATCCTTCATCAAGATGGTATTACACCAAAACTAAGTGACTTTACCAAAAAATCACCGCTCTTAGAAGAGCCGAATGTTTTGGAGCATGCAGCAAATCTTACCACTTTTAGTCCAACATTAGAAACTAGACAGCCTACAATCAGCAGTTTTGACGAAATTCATGTGCAGGAAACGAAAACATTTGAGAAAGAGGTTGCACTAGATGATCTCTCTCAGCCAGTCAAGCAGTTGGCTAAAGTCTCACTTGATTCTACAGCTGGTATTGTGCTGAGTCAACGGGAGAATACTTTCGAATTGGAACGTGATCTAGAGGTGCCATCTATTTCATTCGAGCAAGCAAAATGTGTTGATTCGGAATTATTAAAGTTGCCGTTGACCGAAGGAGTGGAGGAAAATCAGTTAACTGGACATCTGGCAGCCTTCTCAGTGTCAAACACTTTTGCAAAGCCAAACATTGATGTCTTATCGGAAACAATAACCACTGAAGCCATAATTTATGATAATGTTTTAATATCTAAAGATGATGATCAGCCCAAATGTGTAAGCTCTCAGTCTTTAATTCCTCATGAGCATAAAATGATCAGTGAGTGTATGCTTATTGGAGAAGTTGAAGAACTTCTGAAGACACAAGAAAAACAAAGAACTGCTAAGCCCACTCAGGACACTTTTAGCCAATTAGCTATAAAAGAGGATCAAAATACACTAGAAGCCGAATTGTCATTCGATACAGAACGGTCACAGGAATTTAATGCAAAGGTTAGCGAAGTTATTCCAGCTCTTTACACCAAAGGGGTCAATGAAATTGAGGTGTATGAAACGCTTGGTCAAACGAAGCCTAGTGAGACTTTAAATAAACAAGAAGCTGGAATTTCCCATGCATCGAGTCATGCTCCAATTGTAAATCTACAACAAGCTATAGAAAGTTCGGAAAACTTTCTTTCCGAGGCCCAAACCAGCTCAGCTGCTACCTCAAGTGATAATGCTTCCCAATTAAAACTGCCTGTAAATACTTCAATACAAACAGTTGAGGACGCTGAAGAATTTATTACATCAACATTGGCCGAGACAGTTGCTCAGCCCAACTTGGAAGGACACCATTTTGAAGTAACAGTCATGGATAGTCACTACGTCGAGGATACAGAATCCATATCTCCACACGATGATGTGGCTACAAAGGCAACAGAATCTATGAATGTAATATTCAAAGCTACTTCTGAGTCAGAAGAAGTCCACATATTTCAAAAGGAGTCTGCCATACAGCCAACACAATCCCAGGAGGTTATTGCAAAGCCTGGATTAAGCGATATTCTTCAGTATACAACAACAACTGATACAATGCCCTATGAATTATCAGAGAATATTAAACATGCAGAATCTAATACACAGAAAGCTCAAGTACATCCTTATGTACCGACTGACGCTAACAAACTAAACGTTCAACTTGATGATCTCATCCTGCAAAAAGAGGATACGTTCTTGAACACTCATCAAATTGCTTATGGTAAACCCTTTATTGAAGGAACACGACGTGAAATGCTAATCTCCGAAGTGATACCTATTGAAAATATTGACAGCTTAGGACTACCTACAATTTCGGCTCAAGAGTCGACAAGAAGTGTAATCAGTCAACCGAAAACACACAAGACAGTATCCGTAGTTGCGGTGTATGAAAAAGCAGAGGAATTGAAATATGAGCGCCCAAAAGAAGGTCACGGCACCAAACTCGGCGATTCCGATACCAAATGTGCTAACGTAACAGCAATACAAACTGGTTTTATTAAAGAAGGTGATATGGCTCCCTTGGCTCCCTTTATTAAAAATAATGTTCAAGTTTCTAGCACGGAGAAAGAATCATTGGTAACTGAGGAAGTCATCAGCGTAAGTTCCATACAAGAAAGTTACGACCTTCGAGTGCCTATAGAAGTGAATGCTAATTTAATATGTGAACCTACGAATAAGGCTGCAACTATTACTGAGCAGTTGGTCTATGAAGAATCTCCCAATATTAATGTTGAGGAAAGCAAGTGCTTAACGCCAAAATTAAATTTTGTAGAAAGCTCTATCAAACCAGTTCAAACATCCACCGTAAGCGTATACGAAAATATTGAAGGGCACGGTGACTTCAAGCCACAGAGTGCACAACCAACCTCTGATATTTTAACAGACCTAAACATTTCGGTTGTGGAAGAAGTATCTGTTATATCTTCCTTAGATAGTATTTCAAAGGTAGAGCCTACAAAGGCAAAAGCGATCGAAGATAACATAACACATAAGAATCTACTTGTAACCAAGCAAGAGCCCTTTGAAAATGTTAAACATTTATTGGAGGACAAGATTCCTGCTATGGAATGTGCGAGTTACGCCACTACGGATGCAAAAGTTGCACCTCTGTGCTGGGAACTCCAGGTAACGGAAACTATTCTTGAAACAAGCAGCTCTAAAGTAGATTTGGAACATGCAAAGCCTTCAATACTGCCATACAGCTCGAGTCTCAGCCAACAGACAATTACAGAAGAACAAGTCACAACACTACATAAGAAAAACCAAACACTGCCCACAAATGCAAATATAAGTTATGAAACGAACACTAAAAATCAAGTTGATATATTAAATTTAGCAGCAAACCAAAATGTTGTATATGACCTGGAAATGCCTACAATAGCGGAAAGAGAGAATGCTTTGCAAAAAATATTATTTGTACCTGACAATGTAAATGTTCTTTTGCCTCTTGAGGCTAAGCCTCTCGAAGATGCACAATATACGATAATACCGAAAAATGACAAAACACAAACTGACTTGGAGTTACATTCTGAGCCAAAAATGCAATCTACACAACGATCTGAGTATGAAAGCTTAAGTACAAACATATTAAATCAAACGGTAAAATCACATCCGGGTAAGTATTACGTAAGGTTAACTTTAAGCAAATTCAACAGAAAAAGGCGTATTACTTCCATTACTACTTGTCCCCCGATCTACAAAACACATATTACACAAAACAATAACCAAAATACAAACCGAATTAAAACTAAAAGCATATTTTTTACACAGATACAAAACAAGCCACTGACACAAAACACACACAACAAAAGACACCAACACAAATTAAAGAAAAACAAGAAGTTGAGATAACGGAAATTCCCGAAACTATTCAAATTGTTGAAAAACTCACAAAAGATGGTCAAAAGAAGAAAAAAACTATACGTACACGTGTAATCAAGAAGGTTAAGGGCGACAAACAAGAAGTCACCAAAATTGAAACCATCGAAGAGGACGACAAGCAACCCGAGACAATTGTCACAGTAGAAGAAGTTCCTATCAATGAAAGTGAGCCTGATCAAATCAAAGAGCTTCCAGAGGAAGTTCGTGTTGTCGAAACAGTAACCGAAGACGGCAAGCCCAAAAAGAAGAAGATACGCACACGTGTTATCAAGAAGATTAAGGGTGACAAACAAGAAGTCACCAAAATTGAAACCATCGAAGAGGATGACAAGCAACCACAGACAACTGTCACAGTTGAAGAGATTCCTGTGGAAAAAGAACAACCTGAACAAATCAAGGAACTTCCAGAGGAGGTTCGTGTGGTTGAAACAGTAACCGAGGACGGCAAGCCCAAGAAGAAGAGGATACGCACACGGGTTATCAAAAAGGTTAAGGGTGACAAACAAGAAGTCACCAAGATTGAAACTATCGAAGAGGATGACAAGCAACCACAGACAACTGTCACAGTGGAAGAGCTACCTGTGGAGGAAGAACAGCCTGAACAAATCAGAGAGCTTCCAGAGGAGGTTCGTGTGGTTGAAACAGTAACCGAAGACGGCAAGCCCCAGAGAAAGAAGATACGCACACGTGTTATCAAGAAGGTTAAGGGTGACAAACAAGAAGTTACCAAGATTGAAACCATCGAAGAGGATGACAAACAACCCCAGACAACTGTAACAGTGGAAGAGATTCCTGTTGAAGAAGAACAATCTGAACAAATCCAGGAGCTTCCGGAAGAGGTTCGTGTTGTTGAAACGGTAACCGAAGACGGCAAGCCCAAAAAGAAGAAGATACGTACACGTGTTATCAAGAAGGTTAAGGGTGACAAACAAGAAGTTACCAAGATTGAAACCATCGAAGAGGATGACAAGCAACCCGAGACAACTGTCACAGTGGAAGAGATTCCTGTTGAAGAAGAACAGTCTGAACAAATCCATGAGCTTCCAGAGGAGGTTCGTGTGGTTGATACAGTAACCGAAGACGGCAAGCCCAAGAAGAAGAAGATACGCACACGGGTTATCAAGAAGGTTAAGGGTGACAAACAAGAAGTCACCAAGATTGAAACCATCGAAGAGGATGACAAGCAACCACAGACAACTGTCACAGTGGAAGAGATTCCTGTTGAAGAAGAACAGTCTGAACAGATCCAGGAGCTTCCGGAAGAGGTTCGTGTTGTTGAAACAGTAGCCGAAGACGGCAAGCCCAAAAAGAAGAAGATACGCACACGTGTTATCAAGAAGGTTAAGGGTGACAAACAAGAAATCACCAAGATTGAAACCATCGAAGAGGATGACAAGCAACCCGAGACAACTGTCACAGTGGAAGAGATTCCTGTGGAAGAAGAACAGACTGAACAAATCCACGAGCTTCCGGAAGAGGTTCGTGTTGTTGAAACAGTAGCCGAAGACGGCAAGCCCAAGAAGAAGAAGATACGCACACGTGTTATCAAGAAGGTTAAGGGTGACAAACAAGAAGTCACCAAGATTGAAACCATCGAAGAGGATGACAAGCAACCACAGACAACTGTCACAGTGGAAGAGATTCCTGTGGAAGAAGAACAGCCTGAACAAATCCACGAGCTTCCGGAAGAGGTTCGTGTGGTTGAAACAGTAACCGAAGACGGCAAGCCCAAGAAGAAGAAGATACGCACACGGGTTATCAAGAAGGTTAAGGGTGACAAACAAGAAGTCACCAAGATTGAAACCATCGAAGAGGATGACAAGCAACCCCAGACAACTGTCACAGTGGAAGAGATTCCTGTGGAAGAAGAACAGCCTGAACAAATCCAGGAGCTTCCAGAGGAGGTTCGTGTGGTTGAAACAGTAACCGAAGACGGCAAGCCCAAAAAGAAGAAGATCCGCACACGGGTTATCAAGAAGGTTAAGGGTGACAAACAAGAAGTCACCAAGATTGAAACCATCGAAGAGGATGACAAGCAACCCGAGACAACTGTCACAGTGGAAGAGATCCCTGTGGAAGAAGAACAGCATGAACAAATCAGTGAGCTTCCGGAAGAGGTTCGTGTGGTCGAAACAGTAACCGAAGACGGCAAGCCCACAAAGAAGAAGATTCGCACACGCGTTATCAAGAAGGTTAAGGGTGACAAACAAGAAGTCACCAAGATTGAAACCATCGAAGAGGATGACAAACAACCAGAGACAACTGTCACAGTGGAAGAGATTCCTGTGGAAGAAGAACAGCCTGAACAAATCCAGGAGCTTCCGGAAGAGGTTCGTGTGGTTGAAACAGTAACCGAAGACGGCAAGCCCAAGAAGAAGAAGATACGCACACGGGTTATCAAGAAGGTTAAGGGTGACAAACAAGAAGTCACCAAGATTGAAACCATCGAAGAGGATGACAAGCAACCCCAGACAACTGTCACAGTGGAAGAGATTCCTGTGGAAGAAGAACAGCCTGAACAAATCAGGAGCTTCCAGAGGAGGTTCGTGTGGTTGAAACAGTAACCGAAGACGGCAAGCCCAAGAAGAAGAAGATACGCACACGGGTTATCAAGAAGGTTAAGGGTGACAAACAAGAAGTCACCAAGATTGAAACCATCGAAGAGGATGACAAGCAACCACAGACAACTGTCACAGTGGAAGAGATTCCTGTGGAAGAAGAACAGCCTGAACAAATCCAGGAGCTTCCAGAAGAGGTTCGTGTGGTTGAAACAGTAACCGAAGACGGCAAGCCCAAAAAGAAGAAGATACGCACACGGGTTATCAAGAAGGTTAAGGGTGACAAACAAGAAGTCACCAAGATTGAAACCATCGAAGAGGATGACAAGCAACCCGAGACAACTGTCACAGTGGAAGAGATTCCTGTGGAAGAAGAACAGCCTGAACAAATCCAGGAGCTTCCAGAAGAGGTTCGTGTGGTTGAAACAGTAACCGAAGACGGCAAGCCCAAAAAGAAGAAGATACGCACACGTGTTATCAAGAAGGTTAAGGGTGACAAACAAGAAGTCACCAAGATTGAAACCATCGAAGAGGATGACAAGCAACCTGAGACAACTGTCACAGTGGAAGAGATTCCTGTGGAAGAAGAACAGCCTGAACAAATCCAGGAGCTTCCGGAAGAGGTTCGTGTGGTCGAAACAGTAACCGAAGACGGCAAGCCCAAGAAGAAGAAGATACGCACACGTGTTATCAAGAAGGTTAAGGGTGACAAACAAGAAGTCACCAAGATTGAAACCATCGAAGAGGATGACAAGCAACCACAGACAACTGTCACAGTGGAAGAGATTCCTGTGGAAGAAGAACAGCCTGAACAAATCCAGGAGCTTCCAGAAGAGGTTCGTGTGGTTGAAACAGTAACCGAAGACGGCAAGCCCAAGAAGAAGAAGATACGCACACGTGTTATCAAGAAGGTTAAGGGTGACAAACAAGAAGTCACCAAGATTGAAACCATCGAAGAAGATGACAAGCAACCCGAGACAACTGTCACAGTGGAAGAGATTCCTGTGGAAGAAGAACAGCCTGAACAAATCCAGGAGCTTCCGGAAGAGGTTCGTGTGGTTGAAACAGTAACCGAAGACGGCAAGCCCAAGAAGAAGAAGATACGCACACGGGTTATCAAGAAGGTTAAGGGTGACAAACAAGAAGTCACCAAGATTGAAACCATCGAAGAGGATGACAAGCAACCAGAGACAACTGTCACAGTGGAAGAGATTCCTGTGAAGAAGAACAGCCTGAACAAATCCAGGAGCTTCCAGGAAGAGGTTCGTGTGAGTTGAAACAGTGAAAAAACAGCCTGAAGAAATCCAGGAGCTTCCAGAAGAGGTTCGTGTGGTTGAAACAGTAACCGAAGACGGCAAGCCCAAGAAGAAGAAGATACGCACACGGGTTATCAAGAAGGTTAAGGGTGACAAACAAGAAGTCACCAAGATTGAAACCATCGAAGAGGATGACAAGCAACCACAGACAACTGTCACAGTGGAAGAGATTCCTGTGGAAGAAGAACAGCCTGAACAAATCCAGGAGCTTCCGGAAGAGGTTCGTGTTGTTGAAACAGTAACCGAAGACGGCAAGCCCACAAAGAAGAAGATACGCACACGTGTTATCAAGAAGGTTAAGGGTGACAAACAAGAAGTCACCAAGATTGAAACCATCGAAGAGGATGACAAGCAACCAGAGACAACTGTCACAGTGGAAGAGATTCCTGTGGAAGAAGAACAGCCTGAACAAATCCAGGAGCTTCCGGAAGAGGTTCGTGTGGTTGAAACAGTAACCGAAGACGGCAAGCCCAAAAGAAGAAGATACGCACACGCGTTATCAAGAAGGTTAAGGGTGACAAACAAGAAGTACAAGAAACCTGAGGAGAGAATGCCAGGAGGTTCCAGAAGAGCGCTTCGGTGTGGTTGAAACAGTAACCGAAGACGGCAAGCCCAAGAAGAAGAAGATACGCACACGTGTTATCAAGAAGGTTAAGGGTGACAAACAAGAAGTCACCAAGATTGAAACCATCGAAGAGGATGACAAGCAACCAGAGACAACTGTCACAGTGGAAGAGATTCCTGTGGAAGAAGAACAGCCTGAACAAATCCAGGAGCTTCCGGAAGAGGTTCGTGTGGTTGAAACAGTAACCGAAGACGGCAAGCCCAAGAAGAAGAAGATACGCACACGTGTTATCAAGAAGGTTAAGGGTGACAAACAAGAAGTCACGAAGATTGAAACCATCGAAGAGGATGACAAGCAACCAGAGACAACTGTCACAGTGGAAGAGATTCCTGTGGAAGAAGAACAGCCTGAACAAATCCAGGAGCTTCCGGAAGAGGTTCGTGTGGTTGAAACAGTAACCGAAGACGGCAAGCCCAAAAGAAGAAGATACGCACACGTGTTATCAAGAAGGTTAAGGGTGACAAACAAGAAGTCACTAAGAAGCCAAGATTGAAACCATCGAAGAAGATGACAAGCAACCAGAGACAACTGTCACAGTGGAAGAGATTCCTGTGGAAGAAGAACAGCCTGAACAAATCCAGGAGCTTCCGGAAGAGGTTCGTGTGGTTGAAACAGTAACCGAAGACGGCAAGCCCACAAAGAAGAAGATACGCACACGTGTTATCAAGAAGGTTAAGGGTGACAAACAAGAAGTCACTAAGATTGAAACCATCGAAGAAGATGACAAGCAACCAGAGACAACTGTCACAGTGGAAGAGATTCCTGTAGAAGAAGAACAGCCTGAAGAAATCCAGGAGCTTCCGGAAGAGGTTCGTGTGGTTGAAACAGTAACCGAAGACGGCAAGCCCAAGAAGAAGAAGATACGCACACGTGTTATCAAGAAGGTTAAGGGTGACAAACAAGAAGTCACCAAGATTGAAACCATCGAAGAGGATGACAAGCAACCAGAGACAACCGTCACAGTGGAAGAGATTCCTGTGGAAGAAGAACAACCTGAACAAATCCAGGAGCCCGAAGAGGTGCGTGTCAGTGGAAGAGATTCCGTGGAGAAGAACAGCCTGAACAAATCCAGGAGCTTCCGAAGAGGTCGTGTGGTTGAAACAGTAACCGAAGACGGCAAGCCCAAAAGAAGAAGATACGCACACGTGTTATCAAGAAGGTTAAGGGTGACAAACAAGAAGTCACTAAGATTGAAACCATCGAAGAAGATGACAAGCAACCAGAGACAACTGTCACAGTTGAAGAGATTCCTGTGGAAGAAGAACAGCCTGAAGAAATCCAGGAGCTTCCAGAAGAGGTTCGTGTGGTTGAAACAGTAACCGAAGACGGCAAGCCCAAGAAGAAGAAGATACGCACACGTGTTATCAAGAAGGTTAAGGGTGACAAACAAGAAGTCACGAAGATTGAAACCATCGAAGAGGATGACAAGCAACCCGAGACAACTGTCACAGTGGAAGAGATTCCTGTGGAAGAAGAACAGCCTGAACAAATCCAGGAGCTTCCGGAAGAGGTTCGTGTGGTTGAAACAGTAACCGAAGACGGCAAGCCCACAAAGAAGAAGATACGCACACGTGTTATCAAGAAGGTTAAGGGTGAAACAGCCTGAACAAATCCAGGAGCTTCCGGAAGAGGTTCGTGTGGTTGAAACAGTAACCGAAAACGGCAAGCCCACAAAGAAGAAGATACGCACACGTGTTATCAAGAAGGTTAAGGGTGACATACAAGAAGTCACTAAGATTGAAACCATCGAAGAAGATGACAAGCAACCAGAGACAACTGTCACAGTTGAAGAGATTCCTGTAGAAGAAGAACAGCCTGAAGAAATCCAGGAGCTTCCAGAAGAGGTTCGTGTGGTTGAAACAGTAACCGAAGACGGCAAGCCCAAGAAGAAGAAGATACGCACACGTGTTATCAAGAAGGTTAAGGGTGACAAACAAGAAGTCACGAAGATTGAAACCATCGAAGAGGATGACAAGCAACCAGAGACAACTGTCACAGTGGAAGAGATTCCTGTGGATGAGGAACAGCCTGAACAAATCCAGGAGCTTCCGGAAGAGGTGCGTGTGGTTGAAACAGTAACCGAAGACGGCAAGTCCACAAAGAAGAAGATCCGCACACGTGTTATCGATATCAAGAAGATTAAGGGTGACAAACAAGAAGTCACCAAGATTGAAACCATCGAAGAGGATGACAAGCAACCACAGACAACTGTCACAGTGGAAGAGATTCCTGTGGAAGAAGAACAACCTGAACAAATCCAGGAGCTTCCAGAAGAGGTGCGTGTGGTTGAAACAGTAACCGAAGACGGAAAGCCCAAGAAGAAGAAGATACGCACACGTGTTATCAAGAAGGTTAAGGGTGACAAACAAGAAGTCACCAAGATTGAAACCATCGAAGAGGAAGACAAACAACCACAGACAACTGTCACAGTGGAAGAGATTCCTGTGGAAGAAGCACAGCCTGAACAACTCCAGGAGCTTCCGGAAGAGGTTCGTGTGGTTGAAACAGTAACCGAAGACGGCAAGCCCAAAAAGAAGATACGACACGTGTTATCAAGAAGGTTAAGGGTCGAACACAAGTCACAGCCTGTGGAGGAAGAACAGCCTGAAAAATCAGGAGCTTCCAGAGGAGGTTCGTGTGGTTGAAACAGTACCGAAGACGGCAAGCCCAGAAAAGAAGATACGCACACGTGTTATCAAGAAGGTTAAGGGTGACAAACAAGAAGTCACCAAGATTGAAACCATCGAAGAGGATGACAAGCAACCACAGACAACTGTCACAGTGGAAGAGCTACCTGTGGAGGAAGAACAGCCTGAACAAATCAGCGAGCTTCCAGAGGAGGTTCGTGTGGTTGAAACAGTTACCGAAGACGGCAAGCCCCAGAAAAAGAAGATACGCACACGGGTTATCAAGAAGGTTAAGGGTGACAAACAAGAAGTCACCAAGATTGAAACCATCGAAGAGGATGACAAGCAACCACAGACAACCGTCACAGTGGAAGAGATTCCTGTGGAAGAAGAACAGCCTGAACAAATCCAGGAGCTTCCGGAAGTGGTTCGTGTAGTTGAAACAGTAACCGAAGACGGCAAGCCCAAAAAGAAGAAGATACGCACACGTGTTATCAAGAAGGTTAAGGGTGACAAACAAGAAGTCACCAAGATTGAAACCATCGAAGAGGATGACAAGCAACCACAGACAACCGTCACAGTGGAAGAGATTCCTGTGGAAGAAGAACAGCCTGAACAGATCCAGGAGCTTCCAGAGGAGGTACGTGTTGTTGAAACAGTAACCGAAGGCGGAAAGCTCATAAAGAAGAAGATACGCACACGTGTCATCAAGAAGGTTAAGGGTGATAAACAAGAAGTCACCAAGATTGAAACCGTTGAGGAGGACGACAAACAACCTGAAACAACTGTCACAGTGGAAGAGATTCCTATGGAAGAAGAACAGCCTGAACAAATCCAGGAGCTTCCGGAAGAGGTTCGTGTAGTTGAAACAGTAACCGAAGACGGCAAACCTAAGATGAAGAAGATACGCACACGTGTTATCAAGAAGGTTAAGGGTGACAAACAAGAAGTCACCAAGATTGAAACCATCGAAGAAGATGACAAGCAACCACAGACAACTGTCACAGTGGAAGAGATTCCTGTGGATGAGGAACAGCCTGAAAAAATCCAGGAGCTTCCGGAAGAGGTTCGTGTAGTCGAATCTGTAACCGAAGACGGCAAACCTAAGATGAAGAAGATACGCACACGTGTTATCAAGAAGGTTAAGGGTGACAAACAAGAAGTCATTAAGATTGAAACCATCGAAGAAGATGACAAGCAACCCCAGACAACTGTCACAGTGGAAGAGATTCCCGTGGAAGAAGAACAGCCTGAAAAAATCCATGAGCTTCCAGAGGAGGTTCGTATGGTTGAGACAGTAGCCGAAGACGGAAAGCCCATAAGGAAGAAGATACGCACACGGGTTATCAAGAAGTTTAAGGGTGATAAACAACAAGTCACCAAGATTGAAACCATCGAAGAGGATGACAAGCAACCACAGACAACTGTCACAGTGGAAGAAATTCCTGTGGAAGAAGAACAGCCTCACCAAATCCAGGAGCTTCCGGAAGAGGTTCGTGTTGTTGAAACAGTAGCCGAAGACGGCAAGCCCCAAAAGAAGAAGATACGCACACGTGTTATCAAGAAGGTTAAGGGTGACAAACAAGAAGTCATTAAGATTGAAACCGTTGAGGAGGACAACAAACAACCTGAAACAACTGTCACAGTGGAAGAGATTCCCTTGGACGAACAGCCTGAAGAAGTCATGGAGCTTCCGGAGGAGATTCGTGTTGTTGAATCATTCACCGAAGACGGCAAGCCCCAGAAGAAGAAGATACGCACACGTGTCATTAAGAAGGTTAAGGGCGATAAACAGGAAATCACCAAAATTGAAACTGTTGAAGGAGAAGATGAAAAGCCTGAGACAACAATAACAATTGAAGAAGCCAATATTAAAACTCCATTTGGGAAAAAAATTAGTTTAAAGAAAAGAGTTGTTGTTCATAAGCCCGATGATGATGTTACTGTTGTTGAGTTACCAGAAAGAAAGTCAGTAATTCTTTCTGAAAAGAATGATGGTACTCCAATCAAAACGGTTATTAAAACTAAAATTATTAAAAAAGTGCAGGGGTCTAACATGGAAATTACCAAAGTTCAAACTGTCGAAGAATATGAAAAACCAATTCAGACAAAGGTAACAGTTGAGAATTACAAAGCTCCCTTTCCAGATCTTCCGGAAGAAAAGTTCACAGAAGTTGTTGTTTTACCAGATGAAATCGTTAAATCTGAAATTGTTGACGCAGATGGGTTACAAAAAGTTATAAAATCTAAAAAGCGGGTCATAAAGAAACCTAAAGACGAATTTAAGGAAGAAGTAACGGAAATTGATATTACTGAACAAGATTCAGGAGAGCCCATTTATAAAATAACTGTCAATGAACTTCCATTTACGGAGCCTATTGAAACTGACAATAAGTCAGTTGAGTTACCAGAACAAGTAACTGAACTAGAAGTCATTTCTCCCGATGGAACAAAGAAGAAGAAAACTGTTAAGACAAGAGCATTTAAAACAAAAATTGATGATAATCATGATGAAGTCACTACAGTTAATACTGTTGAAGAGGAAAATATGGAACCAGTTACTACTGTGCATGTTGAAATTGTCCCAGTCGATGAAACTTCTACGTTGCCCATTCCTATTGAGGAGTTGCCAGAAGAAACTGTTTTTACTGAAGAAATTGCTGATAATAAGAAGCCAAGAAAAACGAAAACCAAAACTCGAACATTCAAAAAACAAGGTCCTGACGATGAAGAATATTACCAAATACAAACTATTGAAGAAGAAGGCAAAGAGCCTTATTCACTTATACGCGTTGTTAGTGATGAAAACATTGCCGACATTATTGATATTAGTAAGCTCGATGATGAGCAACTTCCTAAACACAAAAAACCAAAGCCACACAAACAGAGGGGTAAGAACACAAATCACAACACTATGCTTACACCACATTTTACACGAGAGTTCCAATTGAAGTATACGCAAAAAACATCTTATATAAGTTATATATTATTAAAGGGGAGGCGCCACCACTTTAAAACGCTTTCATTTTTTTTTATATTTTATTTTTTTAATTGATGCGCTGAAACTTAAGTATTAAATTAAACTATTATCTTTTTAAAAATTTTTAACCTTAAGTAACATATCTGGACTGTTAATAACAAATTTTTCTAATCATTCCATATTAATCACAATACATACCAAAACATAAACACAGCGGAGAAACAGCAACCCGAACACACTGAAACGGAACACCCAGTTTACATAACAACATTTAAATCTGTACAAAGTGAAGATGGCGAAACCACAATTCAAACTGAAAATAAAAGAGTTTCTCAAGAGGAAGGCATCGTTGTTGAGGAAGTGCTAAGTGACACTGAACCCATTATGGAAGACACTACACAATCAAATATTGAAATTGTCGAAGTCAGCGAGCCTACAGGTGATTTTCTTGAAATATTTTCTAACTCACATACATACAAAAACATGCATATTACGGCGAACAATTCTCGTAGTAAAAACATGTTACTAGAATTAAGCAAAAATTCTCAAATACGTCTTCGATAGATTTTGAAATTAACTTGTCCAGGTACTTGATTTGAGATTGCGATTAAAACGTTATGAATCAAAGCGAAAAAAGTAGCTTCAAATTTAGTAACACAAACATAAAATTTACACTCAAAAACTCGAAATTCTGTTTAAACACTTTTGGCACTATAATTACTAACAAGATTGACTAGAAAACTTATAGTAACATAAGTATTCTAGTACATTGTATGTACTCAGGTTGTATTTGTACAATAAAAAAGAGCGTAATATGTACATTACAGACATTGATCAACATTTTAGTTAACATAATATGCAAGCATCTTAAACACTTAACTTTATGAACTACAAAGTTGATGTGTTTTAACGCATTATATAAAATGCAAATATAATTTTAACAAATTAGTTTAGTGCTAACACACAAACACATAATTTTTTCTCAAACAGACCAATACAACAAAGAGTACACTATCACAGAACCCGAAGATGCAAGTGCAAATAACACCGTACATACACCGACCAAAGTTAAAAAACCCAAACAGAAAAAGACACAACCACATCAATTTGAACAGATTGACGAGACTGGGGAACTTGAGGGGGGTGCAGGGGAACCTGCAGACAAACCCAAAAGCGTTGTAGAAAATATACCAGATGAAGTACAGGTTGAGAAAAGTACAGGGGAGAAATTAGGGCCAGGGCCAGCTGAGAAAAAAGAAAAACCAAAGAAGAAGAAGGTGATAAAGCCGAAAAGGAATGAGATGGATGATTATATACAGTTCCTGATACACCAGGAAATACCGAAAACGGTCTTACAGCCGTATGTACGTACTGAAATGGAACATCCACAAAGGGCGCGCCGTGACTCGTCTATAAAACCAATGAAGCTAACTCCGATGAAAATTGAGAAAATTGAAGTAAAAAAACCGAAAATGATTGAAATAAGCTCAGTGGTCGAATTTCCGCAAATGCTCAAGCTCAAAACTCCGAAACAACGTCCACAGGAAGAAAAGAAAAGGAAATCCAGCGAAGCCTCCTTTAAAAATAAAAAACTTAAGAGTTTGATAAGGTTTATACCTTACGCACCGTATTGCTTTCCTTATACGGTTATTGATATGGAAACTAGGCGAGATAATGGTGAGCTCTCTCGAAATATAGAAGAAGCAGAGGAAGTATTGAAGAAGCGTCCAAAGAAATTCAAGCATACTAAACCTGTTAAAGCTGATCTAGAAGAATTCGATTTGGAAACATTTGAAGATGAGAGCAAACCGTTAGATGAAACCAAAGACAAACCAAAGTATAAACGGGGCAAAAAGGACAAAAATGAAAAAGAAGATGAACATAGAAAATTAAAGATTGGTAAGGGTAATCTTCCGGAAAATGTTGAATCAACAGAAACCGTTGAGTTGAAGCCAGTAAAGTTCGATGATAAAACTCAAGTTGAGGCTGAGAAACCAAAGGAAAAAACTAAAGGAAAGAAAACGATAAAGAAGGTAAAAGAATCAAGTGACACCGATGATAAACTTGCTTTCGAGCCCCTCTTGAGTGATGACGACACTGAAGAAAAGGAAAGCAAACCATTCTTCAAATTTGAGGTCATTGAATTAGAGCCCAAGGAAATGCTAGAGGAATCAAGTGATATTTCGCGACCTGAAAAAGAACGCAAGAAGAAACGTAAACTAAAGCTTAAAACAGAATTAGAAGAAAATCTCGTTGAGATAGTCGAAATTTCTCCAACTGATAGCAATGATAAGCAGTATGAAGTTACCGTAACTAGTTCAGAGACTAATGAGAGTCAGTCAAAGGAAAAGAAGATACTCAGAAGAAAAGTTAAGCGTATGAATAAAGAGGAGTTGGATGACTTTATCACAGAGCTTAAGGATGAACCTGATCAAGCCTTTTATGAAACCGCCATGACTGATTTCTTCGAAGTGAAGTTGACTGAACTGGAACCTGAAGAGATTCCTGATGATAATGTTTCCCAAAAAACTAAAAAGCGTAGAATTTTGCATAAGCGTGGAGAAAAAGAAGAGGTTTTAGAAATTGTAGAAACTGTTCCTTCATCCGGCGAGGAGCCATTCTACGAAATATCAATCAAATCAATTGAACCGGAAGAGGAAGCTGATACTCAAAAGCCTATTGAAAAGCCAAAACTAAGAACTAAGAAAATGAAAAAGGATGATCTAGATGCGTATATACAGCAGCTGATAAATGCGGAGATTCCAATAACTGAACTTGAGAAATATGAAAAAACTGAAATAGATGCCAAGCCGAAGAAACCAAAGAAGCATAAGATCAAACAACCTAAGGCCCATATCGATGAAGGTGAAGCTTTTGAGGTGGGTATCATACAGGAAGAACCAATTAAAAAACCGAAGGTCAAGAAACCCAAACCTCAACCAAAACTTGAAGAGGAATCAGTAACTGAACCCGAAAGTGTTATTGAGCACAAGGAGTTTACAATCAGCACGATTGACTCGCAGCCCATTCCAGAGCAAATTGTGGAAGAGCTAGTTAAGGCAGTTGTACTCGACCTGGACGAAATTATATCAAACATCGGTGAATCCCTCCCTATCATAGAATTGGAGAAATCTACCGAGACCGTCCCTCAATCTATTGAAGAAGTTGAACGCTTAGAAATTAAAACAATTAAAAAACGCAAAGTGAAAACTAGAAAGGGATCAAAGCAGTATGAAATACAAATCGTGGAAACTACAGCACCAGACGATGATCATGCAGAAGCAAAGGTTGTAGTTATAACAACTGAAATCGTTGAAGACAATACTGATGTACCAATCGAAGAGCAACCAGAAACTCCAAAGAAAATAATAAGAAAGGTGAAAAAAGATAAGCTCAAAGAATATATAGTCAGCATTATTGATGAGGCCCCAACGGAACTTCTAGCCAAAATTTCTGAGGACATGTCCCCTGTTTCAAAAATGGAACCTTTAGATGATGATGGTTTCAAAAGTTTTAAAACTACTGTAGCTGATGATGTTCCTGAAGATGATGTTAAGCCTGAAGTTGAATCGGTTGACAGTCCAACAAGCAAGCCAAAGGATAAAAAGAAGAAATCAACTAAGCTGAAAAAGGTTACAGTAATTGAAGAGCAGCCAATTCAGGGTGAAGACAGCACTAAGGGAGAGGAATATCCTAGTAAGGATGTAGAAACATCAAAAACACCGTCGCACGATGAATATTCAGTTGAGATAACAGAAATAACACCTAAATCTAAGAAAAAGGTGCCGAAAAATAAACTTGAGAAGCCTATGCCTGTCCCGATATCGGAACACAAAATTCGTATTGAGGAACTAGCACCTGAAACAACAACCGAACAAGTTATTAACGAACAAGGAGAGGAAGTTGAAAGGGTTACAACTAAGCGAAGACTTAAAAAGAAGGAGGGTCCAAAAGAATATCTAATCGAAGTTGTTGAAACCTATGAAGAAAATAAGCCCGAGGCAGAATTGGTTATTCAGACTACAGAAATAATACCAGAATCAGACACTCAAGCACATGAAGATCACAAAATTAAAGTTGTGAAAAAGAAAAAACCCAAAGAGGAAAAAATTGACACTTATATTCAACAGTTAATAGAAGAAGACGTTCCAAAAACAGAGCTTGATGTCTTCGAAACAACTGAATTGGAATCAACCCCGGAGTCAAAGAAACCAAAGAAGATAAAGAAACACCATAAGAAAATCACCGAAATAGTTGATGGTATTCCGCATACTGTACATGAATTTACCATTCAAGAGTTCGAGCCAGAAGCAGAGGTAGTACCCGCAACCGTTACAGAAATTGAGGATGATGATACCCCTGAAACACAGACTGAGGATTTCGAAATAAAGGTAACAGACGAACAGCCTAAACGTAAGCCGAAGAAAGAAAAGAAATCGAAGGTGTCGGTGGTCGACCAAGAACCAGTCAAAATTGAGGACATTGGGGAAACTGTAGAAGTTATTAAGATAATTGAAGACGATGGCGCAACAAAAGAAGTTCAAGTAAAGAAGCGTAAGATCGTTCGCAAGCAAGGTCCAAAGGAACATGTTTTTGAAATAACAGAGACATCAAATAATGAAGAGCCTTTGGCGGAAGTTACCATCGTTGATATTACAGAAGATGAAAGGCCAAGCGATACAGTTGAACCACTTGAAAAAAGGAAGGCACCAATCAAAAAGCCAAAGAAACTGAAACGCGAGGACGTGGAAAGCTATGTGATTAATGTAGTGGAAGAGTTTACAGAGCCAACAGAAGTTGAGGAAAATATTACACCAATTCCTTCTCCGATTTCGGAACAGACCATTCGTGTTGAGGAACTAGCACCTGAAACAACTACCGAAAAAGTTATTAACGAACAAGGAGAGGAAGTTGAAAGGGTTACAACTAAGCGAAGACTTAAAAAGAAGGAGGGTCCAAAAGAATATCTAATCGAAGTTGTTGAAACCTATGAAGAAAATAAGCCCGAGGCAGAATTGGTTATTCAGACTACAGAAATAATACCAGAATCAGACTCTCAAGCACCTGAAGATCACAAAATTAAAATTGTCAAAAAGAGAAAACCCAAAGAGGAAAAAATTGACACTTATATTCAACAGTTAATAGAAGAAGACGTTCCAAAAACAGAGCTTGATGACTTCGAAACAACTGAATTGGAATCAACCCCGGAGTCAAAGAAACCAAAGAAGATAAAGAAACACCATAAGAAAATCACCGAAATAGTTGATGGTATTCCGCATACTGTACATGAATTTACCATTCAAGAGTTCGAGCCAGAAGCAGAGGTAGTACCCGCAACCGTTACAGAAATTGAGAAATTGACTGAGGATTTCGAAATAAAGGCAACAGACGAACAGCCTAAACGTAAGCCGAAGAAAGATAAGAAATCGAAGGTGGCGGTGGTCGACCAAGAACCAGTCAAAATTGAGGACATTGGGGAAAATATAGAAGTTATTAAGATAATTGAAGACGATGGCGCAACAAAAGAAGTTCAAGTAAAGAAGCGTAAGATCGTTCGCAAGCAAGGTCTAAAGGAACATGTTTTTGAAATAACAGAGACATCAAATAATGAAGAGCCTTTGGCAGAAGTTACCATCGTTGATATTACAGAAGATGAAAGGCCAAGCGATACAGTTGAACCACTTGAAAAAAGGAAGGCACCAATCAAAAAGCCAAAGAAACTGAAACGCGAGGACGTGGACAGCTATGTGATTAATGTAGTGGAAGAGTTTACAGAGCCAACAGAAATTGAGGAAAAGATTACACCAATTCCTTCTCCGATATCGGAACAGACAATTCGTGTTGAGGAACTAGCACCTGAAACAACAACCGAACAAGTTATTAACGAACAAGGAGAGGTAGTTGAAAGAGTTACAACTAAGCGAAGACTCAAAAAGAAGGAGGGTCCAAAAGAATATCTAATCGAAGTTGTTGAAACCTATGAAGAAAATAAGCCCGAGGCAGAATTGGTTATTCAGACTACAGAAATAATACCAGAATCAGACTCTCAAGCACCTGAAGATCACAAAATTAAAATTGTCAAAATGAAAAAACCCAAAGAGGAAAAAATTGACACTTATATTCAACAGTTAATAGAAGAAGACGTTCCAAAAACAGAGCTTGATGTCTTCGAAACAACTGAATTGGAATCAACCCCGGAGTCAAAGAAACCAAAGAAGATAAAGAAACACCATAAGAAAATCACCGAAATAGTTGATGGTATTCCGCATACTGTACATGAAGTTACCATTCAAAAGTTCGAGCCAGAAGCAGAGGTAGTACCCGCAACCGTTACTGAGGATTTCGAAATAAAAGTAACAGACGAACAGCCTAAACGTAAGCCGAAGAAAGAAAAGAAATCGAAGGTGACGGTGGTCGACCAAGAACCAGTCAAAATTGAGGACATTGGGGAAACTGTAGAAGTTATTAAGATAATTGAAGACGATGGCGCAACAAAAGAAGTTCAAGTAAAGAAGCGTAAGATCGTTCGCAAGCAAGGTCCAAAGGAACATGTTTTTGAAATAACAGAGACATCAAATAATGAAGAGCCTTTGGCGGAAGTTACCATCGTTGATATTACAGAAGATGAAAGGCCAAGCGATACAGTTGAACCACTTGAAAAAAGGAAGGCACCAATCAAAAAGCCAAAGAAACTGAAACGCGAGGACGTGGACAGCTATGTGATTAATGTAGTGGAAGAGTTTACAGAGCCAACAGAAGTTGAGGAAAAGATTACACCAATTCCTTCTCCGATATCGGAACAGACAATTCGTGTTGAGGAACTAGCACCTGAAACAACAACCGAACAAGTTATTAACGAACAAGGAGAGGAAGTGGAAAGGGTTACAACTAAGCGAAGACTTAAAAAGAAGAAGGGTCCAAAAGAATATCTAATAGAAGTTGTTGAAACTTATGAAGAAAATAAGCCCGAGGCAGAATTGGTTATTCAAACTACAGAAATGATACCAGAATCAGAGTCTCAAACACCTGAAGATCACAAAATTAAAATTGTCAAAAAGAAAAAACCCAAAGAGGAAAAAATTGACACTTATATTCAACAGTTAATAGAAGAAGACGTTCAAAAAACAGAGCTTGATGTCTTCGAAACAACTGAATTGGAATCAACCCCGGAGTCAAAACAACCGAAGAAGATAAAGAAACACCATAAGAAAATCACCGAAATAGTTGATGGTATTCCGCATACTGTACATGAATTTACCATTCAAGAGTTCGAGCCAGAAGCAGAGGTAGTACCCGCAACCGTTACAGAAATTGAGGATGATGGTACCCCTGAAACACAGACTGAGGATTTCGAAATAAAGGTTACAGACGAACAGCCTAAACGTAAGCCGAAGAAAGAAAAGAAATCGAAGGTGACGGTGGTCGACCAAGAACCAGTCAAAATTGAGGACATTGGGGAAACTGTAGAAGTTATTAAGATAATTGAAGACGATGGCGCAACAAAAGAAGTTCAAGTAAAGAAGCGTAAGATCGTTCGCAAGCAAGGTCCAAAGGAACATGTTTTTGAAATAACAGAGACATCAAATAATGAAGAGCCTTTGGCGGAAGTTACCATCGTTGATATTACAGAAGATGAAAGGCCAAGCGATACAGTTGAACCACTTGAAAAAAGGAAGGCACCAATCAAAAAGCCAAAGAAACTGAAACGCGAGGACGTGGAAAGCTATGTGATTAATGTAGTGGAAGAGTTTACAGAGCCAACAGAAGTTGAGGAAAATATTACACCAATTCCTTCTCCGATTTCGGAACAGACCATTCGTGTTGAGGAACTAGCACCTGAAACAACTACCGAAAAAGTTATTAACGAACAAGGAGAGGAAGTTGAAAGGGTTACAACTAAGCGAAGACTTAAAAAGAAGGAGGGTCCAAAAGAATATCTAATCGAAGTTGTTGAAACCTATGAAGAAAATAAGCCCGAGGCAGAATTGGTTATTCAGACTACAGAAATAATACCAGAATCAGACTCTCAAGCACCTGAAGATCACAAAATTAAAATTGTCAAAAAGAGAAAACCCAAAGAGGAAAAAATTGACACTTATATTCAACAGTTAATAGAAGAAGACGTTCCAAAAACAGAGCTTGATGTCTTCGAAACAACTGAATTGGAATCAACCCCGGAGTCAAAGAAACCGAAGAAGATAAAGAAACACCATAAGAAAATCACCGAAATAGTTGATGGTATTCCACATACTGTACATGAATTTACCATTCAAGAGTTCGAGCCAGAAGCAGAGCTAGTTCCCTCATCCGTTACAGAAATTGAGGATGATGATTCTCAAAAAACACAGACAGAGGATTTCGAAATAAAGGTAACAGACGAACAGCCTAAACGTAAGCCGAAGAAAGAAAAGAAATCGAAGGTAACGGTGGTCGACCAAGAACCAGTCAAAATTGAGGACATTGGGGAAACTGTAGAAGTTATTAAGATAATTGAAGACGATGGCGCAACAAAAGAAGTTCAAGTAAAGAAGCGTAAGATCGTTCGCAAGCAAGGTCCAAAGGAACATGTTTTTGAAATAACAGAGACATCAAATAATGAAGAGCCTTTGGCGGAAGTTACCATCGTTGATATTACAGAAGATGAAAGGCCAAGCGATACAGTTGAACCACTTGAAAAAAGGAAGGCACCAATCAAAAAGCCAAAGAAACTGAAACTCGAGGACGTGGACAGCTATGTGATTAATGTAGTGGAAGAGTTTACACAGCCAATAGACACACTCACACAAGTTGAGGAAATTATCTTGAAAGAGGATGATGAGGTTACTCACGCTGAAGAAATTCCCTTAGAAGATGTTGAAGAGGTGACTGAAGACAAAATTCCCAAGCTTAAAACGAAATCCATAAAGCCGAAGAAACCCAGCAAGAAATCAGAAGATCACACAATTCGTATTGAAGAACTTGCTCCTGAAACCACTATCGAAGATATTGTCAACGAAGAAGGAGATGAAGTTAAGCAGGTAAAAACTACGAAGAAACTTAAGAAAATAGATGGACCCAAGGAGTATTTGATAGAGGTAACCGAAACCTATCAAGAGAACAAACCAGACGCTGATATTGAAGTGACAACCTTTGAAATACCTGTAGACGAGACAAGCAACGTAGATGGAGATCAGCCAGTTAAGATAGTTCAAAAATTGAAAAAGAAGAAGGCCGTAAAGGATGATTTAGATAAATATATTCAAGAACTTATTGAACAAGAAATTACAAAAACAGATCTAGAGCAATATGAGCCCACGGAAATTGAATCGAAGCCCAAGCTTAAGAAAAAAGTAAAAACCCATCATAAAAAGAGTGTGGAAATAATTGATAATGTTCCCGTTACCGTTCATGAGTTTGACGTTACGGAAATAGAACCAGAGCTTATAGAGGAAGCTAAACCATTGGATATTTTAGACAATCCTGAAGATCAAACTTCTGAGAATGAAGAGCCCGACAAATATTTGGCAAATGTTTTGGACGAGATATTAGAACCAACACAAAGCCCTGAAGACATAACTGACAAACCGACAACAGCACTTACGGTAGAGAAGTCACAGAAAAAGAAAAAGATAGAGAAAGTTCCGATAGTTTTAGATGAAATATCTGAATTTACTGAAATTATACAGCAGCCTACAGAAGACGGTGTTGTGAAAGAAGTTTCTGTGAAGAAGCGTAAGGTTACTCATAGGAAGGGCTCCAAGCAAAGCATCTTTGAGATAACTGAAACTACTAGCGATGATCAACCTATGGCAGAAGTAACAGTCGTGGAGCTTACGGAAAATAAGTCATCCATTCCGGAAGAAGCGCCGATTGTTGAACAGAAAGTATTAAGGAAAACTAAAAAGCTAAATAAGGAAGATGTACAGGAATATGTCATCAATGTTATTGATGATTTTGTGCAAGAATTGCCCGTTGAGGCAATTGAGGACGAAGTAACGGAAATTCCCGAAAAGAAAAAGGCTAAGACTAAAAAATCTCCAAAGGAATATAAATTCAGTGAGCACGAAGAAGTTTTGCCCGAAGAATTTGAAAAACCTAAGGATGATGTTCCTGAAATGCCAGTTGAGACAATACATGAAGCCCCCGTGGAACCCACTGATTTCACGATAGGTGTTACCGAAAATGTTACTACAGATGATAAGAAACCTAAAAAACCGAAGAAGCCATCAAAGTCAAAGCCAGGTTATGAAATTGAGTCTGAGAAACATCCAGACTATTTAATAAAGGTATCGTCAACAGAGGAAACATCGCCGAATGATTTAACTGAGATTGAAACCGTGAACCTGGAATCAGAAGAGGTACAGCCAACAGAGGAACCAGTTTTCCAAATAGAAGAAATCGAAATTACACCAGATGTAGTTGAAGAACAGGACGAAAATATCGAAACAACAAAGAAAGTCGTTAGTAAGCGAAAGATCAGAAAGCAAGTTGGCCCTAAGGAAGAAATCATAGAAATTGTTGAAACTGTCAAGGACGGGCTGCCTGAATATGAAGTCACAGTAACTACTGAAGAAGCCGAAAAAGAAGTTGAAGAAAATCCTCAAGAAGAAAAGCCAAAGAAGGTTAAGAAGACCAAAAAGATTCCAAAGGACGATTTACATGAGTATATACAAAAACTTATTGAACAGGATATTCCAAAATCAGAATTAGAGAAGTACGAAAAGATAGATTTCGATGAACCAGTTAAAATGAAGAAGAAGAAGCCTGTGAAAAAGATGAAAGTTACAGAAGAAGAATTTAAGGATACCCCTGAAGTATCAATTAAAGATGCTCCCGAATATGAAACACATCCATTGGAAAGTCCTTTGGAAGAATCACAATTGATGGTAACTGTTAAAGAAATCGTAGCACCAACACCAAAAGAAGAATCCTTTGAAGTTACAGTTCTAGAAGAATTTGTTGAAAATAAGCCGATTCCGGATAGTGAAGGGGAAATTAAAATAAAGGAAGTAAAAACAAAGAAAATAAAACACAAAAAGGGTCCGGAAGAGATAATTCATGACATTACAGTTGTTTATGATAAGGATAATGATGAATCCGAAATTACTATAGTAACATCAAGTCCAAACGAAACTGAAGATCAAAAAGAAGTTACTGTTAAGCAAAAGCGAACCAAAAAAATTAAAAAGGATGACGTTGATGATTTCATTAAAACAGTTATTGAAGAAGATATACCACGAGAACAGCCATCTGACGTTGTCGATGTTACTGAGGAAACGACTCCTAAGAAAACACCTGAAAAACCAAAGAAGATCAAAAAGAAGGAAAAGAGGCCGTCAGTGGAAGAGAAATCAACGCCAATAGATAATGTAGAAATTGTGGAGAGCTTACCAACGGAAGAACCAACGGAAATATTCCCTGTGGATGTAGTGGATGTATCTCCCACCGTCGAGTCTGATAAAGAAGATGAAGTAACCCAAGACGTTAGTGTACCCGAAAAGAAAAAGAAATCTCCTAAGCAAAAGATTCAAGTTATTGAAGAACTCCCTCAGAAAGAGACTGATGTCCAGCCTTTGGAGATTGTAGAAAAAGAGAGTGATATTGAAAAGCCAAATGAGAAAGAATACAGTATCACTTTCACAGAAGAAGAATCTAAACCAGAGGAAAAATTGGAAAAGAAGCCAAAGAAGGTTAAGGATAAGCAAGTTCAACCAGAGGAATCAACTTACGAAATCTCTGTTAAGGAAAGTCACATTCAACTCGAAGACCTTCCTTTAACTGTAGAAATGATCGAAAGTGAAACGAAAGAGGAAGTAACCACAGATGATGCTGGCGAGGTCCATAAGGTAGTTACAACAAAACATAAGATTAGACGTCCAAAGGGAGAATCTGATGATGTTATTGAAATAATTGAGGTAGTTACTGATGATCAACCTAATGCGGAAATTACAATTGTTGAATACGAGCCGGTACAACCACAAGAGGAAGAAAAGGCTAAGGAACCGAAAAAGAAATTAAAGAAAGTTAAAAAAGATGATATTCATGACTATATACAAAAACTTATAGACATGGAGACTCCTAAAACTGAATTGGAAAAATATGAGAAAATTGAGTTCGAGCCAATACCCAAAGATAAACCTACCGAAACTGCGCCTGTTACAGTGACAGATGAATCTCCAACCGAGAAACCAAAGAAGGACAAAAAGTCGAAGCCAAAAGAGTTGCCAAAGAAAGAAGAATCTTTACCAGAACCATTGGCTGAAATTAAGGTTATTGAGGAGGAGGAACTTGAAAAGCCGAAAGTGGTCGAAGTAGTGGAAGTTCAACCGGAGGAAGTCAAAATTACAGAAACAATTACTGACGAGGGCCATCCAGTTCAAGAGAAAACTACCAAGCGAGTTTTAAAGAAGAAGGGTCCTAAGGAAGACACCACCTTCAAAATAACAACAATTGAAAGCGAAGGCAGTGATACCGTTACTGTTATCGTCGACGAGGAACCCGAAGCCATGCCAGTTGAGGCTATTGAAACTCAACCGGAGAGGACGGAAGAAGAGAAACCAGAGCCCAAACCGAAGCCTAAGAAATCAGTGAAGAAGGTTAAAAAAGATGATTTGGATGAATATGTTAAGAAACTTTTGGAGGAAGAAACACCAAAGACTGAAATGGAAGTGTATGAAAAAGTTGAAATGCCAGAAAAACCGAAAGACAAAGCCCCAACAGAAAGTGTGACAGAACTGGCAAAGCCTGACGTACCCGAAACCCCAATAGCAGTTCTTGACTCGACCAAACCTAAAAAGACCAAAACACCTAGACCAAAACCAGTTGACGTAGTCGAACAAAGACAAGACGAACCAACGGAAGAGACTATTTCTGAGACTAAAGACCTAACTGAAGATACACCAACTCAAATTGCACACCCCGAGGACACAGCCACTCCACAAATTACACCAAGCGCACAAGATGAAATATCTACTCAAGATGACACTAAAGATACAGTTCAAAAAACAGTTAAGCATAAGAAAGCTAAGCCAGACACAGTTAAAAGCGTTGAAACAAGTAAGTTATTAGATGAGAGTTTTTTGAGGCTTAAATTTTCCACCGCACACGCAGCACCTGTTCCTTTGTCTGTGTCTTTTGCCTTTGTTTATTCCAACGTTGACTTCCAATATTTCGCGCCTTTGCCATCCTCTCTTTTTTACTCTCTCTCTCTCTCTATATTTCTTACACTCTCACTTTTGCTTTCTCTCCCCCCTTTCCATTATAATTTTGTGCTCAATAATTTGAGCATAAGTTTAGCTGAAAATATTTGCCCGTTTGCAATTTATATCCACATAAACACTGTTACCAACCCAATGCATGCTCTTTAATTCAATAAAAAAAAAAATACTAAAATTCTTCTTGCATCCTTTAAATCGATTTCCACACTATAATCAATTAGAGTATTCTCTAAAATGACTAACTGTTTTGAAATACTTATGTGTACAGTTTTTAAATATTTAGGAAATTTATCTTAAATTGGACAAGCGTTCCAGAATTTTGAAATACTGCTACTATTTCAATATTTATCAAGCTCAACGATTTGCTTGCATTCTTATGCAATAGCAATGCACGGATTCATATTACAGTTGCACGAATTTTATATTACTAAAAATATAAATTTCTATAACAGGTGAAGCACCCGAGGCTTATAAGGATTATCACATAAGCGTAATTCATGAAGAGCCCGAAGAAAAAGAAGTGCAGCCCGATAAAATCTTGCAAGTTAGAATTATCGATGAAGTTTCTGAAGTCGAAGAGTCTCAACCCATCGTCGAAGAAGTCGAAGAGGAGGATGAAAAACCGACTGCCGAGGAAACAGTTGAGGACGTCACGAAGCCGAAGACAAGGAGAAAGAAGATTGTGAAAAAGAAGACCCACGAACACGATGAAATAATACAAAAACTGCTTGAACAAGAAATTGAAAAAACAGAGTTGGAGAAATACGAGAAGGTCGAATTTGATACTCCCAAGAAACTGAAACCAGAATTCGCCAATCTTGAACCAATTAAAATTGAAAGGAAAGAACAGAAGCCCACAAAGGTCACAATAGTTGAGGCCGCTGAGGTTCCCAAGATGGTGAAGTTGAAGCCTGGCAAACGTAAGGAAAAACCAGCTGAAGAACAAACTGTGCAACTACCCAAATTCAGACTTAAGACTCGCATGATTATGGTTGAATATCCGCCAGCACCGATTATACCAAAGTTGACAGACATTGGTGCAATTAAGCAGAACGGTGACCTCACCCGCAATATTGAGGAAGCGGAAGAGCTACTTAAGTTTAAGCCACACAAGCCCAAGAAAATTAAGAAAATTAAAGATGATTTGGAGAAGGTGGAGCTTGAAAAGTATGAAAAATACGTTAGTAGTGAAGAGGAACCGGAGCCAAAGCAACCATATCAAAAGCCTGAAAAGGTACCAAAACCAGAAGAAAGTCCGGATGAAGTCAAACTTAAAATTGGTAAGGGCAAGAAGAAGCCTAAGGAGGAAGAATCTCCTGAAAATGTTACGCTCAAAAAGATACCACAAAAGCCCACGGAATATGAAGAAGAAATCGAAAAGAAACCAAAAGAAAAGGATGTGATTGTAACTGAGGAGCAACCAAAGCAGCCCAGGGAGCAGGATATACAAGTGGAACCATTCCAACCAATTGATTATGAGCGGCCTGAATATGTTCCAGAAGAACTTGAGGAAGTGGAAAAACCAGAGAAGCCGGAAAAGCAAAAGAAACCAAGTAAAACAAAGTATAAGCCTAAAGAAAAATCAAAACCAGAACCGGAAACGATAATTACAGAAATTGTTCCTGGAAAACCGAAAGAACAAGAAGAAGTGCCCGATATTGACATAAAGTTCCGCAAGCCTGAGAGTGAGGCACCAGAAGAGACAGAATCTCAAGTTAAACTGAAACCAGTGAAAAAGACTCCTGAAGAAACAACAATTGAAGATGTTGTTGCAAAGACAACGGTTGAGGAGTCGAAGCCGCAGGAAAAGGTAATTAAACCTGAAGACGAGGTTAAAAAGACTAAGAAATCTAAACCGAAGCCGGCACAACAAAAAGAGGAAGAGACTACTGAAGAGAAGCAGCCAGACTATGAGGTTTCAGTAAAGGAAGAGGAAGCCGTTATTGAAAAGACCGACGACATTGAGAAGCCTAAAGAGGTAAAGGTGAAACAAAAGAAACCGAAAGAAGAACCTGTAGCTGAAGTCGACATCGTGGAAGAACTGCCTCAGGCAAGAGAAGAGCCTGAAGACATCCCTGTAGAGTACAAAATTACAACAACTGTTTTGGAGCCGGAAGAAGCACCAAAAGAACATCTAGTTAAAGTCATTGATTTTGATGAAAGGGAAGTTACCACTGAGGAGCTTGTTGAAGAAAAGGTTGTTACTAGAAAGAAGAAGCCGAAACCAGAGAAGCCAGAAGAGTTTGAGGTCACACTACAGGAGCCACAACAAATACAACCTGAACCAGAAGAGGAAACGGTTGAAGTTGTGATTGCTGTTCAACACCCCGAACAAGAAACTGAAGAATTTGAAGTCGAGTTGAAGATAAGCGAACCACAACCAGAAGAGCAAAATGTCGTTGTGAAGAAAAAGTCTAAAAAGAAGCCTGTGGAAAAAGTAGAGGAGGCGAAACAAGACGTGGTAAAAGAAGTGGAGACTCAACCGGAGGAGCAAAAAGTAGAAGAGATTTTGCAGGTAGAAGAAGAAGAAACCGTTGAAGAAACACAACCGAAGTCTTTCGTATTCCAAGTGACTGAAACTGATGCCCCTCTAAAGAAACCAGCAGAAGTAATTGAAGAAAAACCAAAAGAAAAGGTAAAGAAACCAGCTCCGAAACTGATTGAGAAATTCGACTCTTATGAAATTTCCGTCAAGGAATCTCAGGTGGAGAAAGTAATTGAGCAAGTGGAACAACCAGAGGAAGACGTTCCTGAAGAAGTTCTAATTACCACAAAAGCAAAAGAAGCGGAACCAGTGGAAGCAGAGTTTGTATTAACGGAACCAAAACCAACAGAAGAGAGTCATGTAGAAGCGGAAGTCAAGCCAAAGAAAACAAAGAAGCCTAAGAAAACTGAAGAGGTCACTAGTCTTGATATTAAAGTTGTTGAAGAAGTGACTGTTCCAGAAGAAATAGTAGTTGAAGATGAGCAACCTGATGTTGTTGAAAAGGAAAAACCAGCTCCGAAACTGATAGAGAAATTCGATTCTTATGAAATTTCCGTCAAGGAATCTCAGGTGGAGAAAGTAATTGAGCAGGTGGAACAACCAGAGGAAGACGTTCCTAAAGAAGTTCTAATTACCACCAGATCAAAAGAACCGGAACCAGTGGAAGCAGAGTTTGTATTAACGGAACCAAAACCAACAGAAGAGAGTCATGTAGAAGCGGAAGTCAAGCCAAAGAAAACAAAGAAGCCTAAGAAAACTGAAGAGGTCACTAGTCTTGATATTAAAGTTGTTGAAGAAGTGCCAGTTCCAGACGAAATAGTAGTTGAAGATGAGCAACCTGCTATTGTTGAAAAGGAAACTGTTCCCGCTGAAGAAACACCAAAGGAATATACGATTCGGGTATTTGATACAGAAATTGAGCAACCAGAAGAACCAACTGTTGCAGAATTTACTGTGAAGAAACCGAAACCTTCCCTTGTTGCTGCGGAAGAGCCCGAAGCAGAGTTTGTTTTGAAAGAGAGCAAGCCCGTAGAAGAAGTAACCGAAGTAGCTGAAATAAAAACAAAGAAACCTAAAAAGAAAGTTAAGGAAGTTGCTGCGGACGAGCTTAAGATCCAAATCAAAGAAGAAACTCCTCAAGAAATTCCAGTAGTGGAAGAAATCGTGGAGGTTGTGACAGAAGAAGAGGAAAAAGTACCTTCTGTTGAATATAAATCGTATGAAATTGGTGTGAAGGAAACAGTACCTGAAAAACCTGCCAAGGAAGAACTAATTGAGGAGCCATTGGTAAAGAAACCAGTAATCGAAGAGGAAGCACCTACTGTTGAATACAAGTCCTATCAAATAGGTGTGAAAGAGACAGTAGTTGAGAAGCCTGTTGAAGAAATTCCAGAAGAAGACCAATTGGTAGAGGAGCCTAAAGTCGAAGAGCCACAGCCAGTAGCCTTTGAGGAACTTAAAGTCAGAGTTATTGAAGAGACACCCCGTGAAGTTGTAGAAGAAGTTCTCGAAGAGAGCATTAAAGTGCAGCGCAAGAAGAAGCCGAAGCCAGAAATTACAGAAGAGCCAGAGGCTCAAATTAGCATTCCCAAACCAAAACCTGTTGATGAAATGGAAGCGGTCCAAAGCGTTACCATTGTACCAGAGATCCCGACAGAAGAGGATGCTGCAGAGCTTAAGATAACTATTATTGATGAAATGTCTGAACCGCAAGAACTTATTCAGGAGATTGAAGAAATCGAAACGGTTAAAGAAGCAGTCGCTGAACCGGTGCCGGTAGAAAAGCCAAAAGACTATAAATTCAGTATAAAAGAGTCTGAGACACCGAAGGAAAGTATCGAGGAATTGCCAGAAGAACAGGTTACCATTCAGAAAAAGAAGAAAGTTCCAGAGCAAAAAGAAACTGTCGAAGATTTACCGGAAGAGCAGGTTACCATTCAAAAGAAGAAGAAGAAGCTTGAACCTCAGGTTATAGAAGAACCAGAAGCCGTTTTCGAAATCAAGCAAAAACAAACAGTCGAAGAAGTTACAGAAGAAGCTAAAATAAAGAAGAAGACAAAGAAACCCGTAAAGGAAGAAGAGGCAGCTGCAGAGCTTAAAGTTACTGTGATCGAGGATTCGACACCAGAACCAGAAGTTATTGAAATCGTCGAAGAAATTGAAGAGCAGGCGGAAGAGATCCCAGAAGTAGAGCCAGTTGAAAAGCCCACTGAGTACAAATTCATGCTAAAAGAAAGCCAACCCGAAGCTTCAGAAGAAAATGAGGAAGAGGCTGTTCAGGAGGTTAGCTTACCTAAGAAAACTCCAAAGGCCGTTGAACCGATTGAAGAACCTGAAGCTGAAGTTATCCTTAAACCCAAATCCAAGCCTGAAGAAGTACAGGAGGAAGTCAAAATATCAAAGAAGAAGCCCAAAAAGAAGGTTGTAGAGGAAGCTGCTGAAGAACTTACAGTTAAGGTAGAAGAGGAAGTAACTCCTGAGCCTATTATTGTGGAGGAAGAAGTAGTAGAAGAAGTTGAAGCTAAGAAACCAGAAGAACCAACACCCGAAGAAACAGTCGATGCTGCCGTTTTCAAACTGAAGAAGCCAGATGCATCTGAGGAAGAGGATGTGGTCGCTGAAGTTACTTTGAAGCCAAAGCTACCCAAGGAGCTGCAAGAAGAAGAGCTCTCGGTCGATATCAAACTGCCAAAAGAAAAGAAGGTTTCTGAAGAAACATCGGATGAAACTGTGCAGCTCAAGAAGAAGAAGAAGCCACATAAACCAGTTGAAGAAGCTGCGGATGAGCTACAACTTCAGCAAACTGTCATCGAAGAGAGACCAGTAGAGGTTGAAGAAGAAGAAGTCATTGAGGAAGCCGTTATAATAAGAAGGAAACCAAAAAAACCATTCCAACCAACGGTAGAAGACCATGAAGAAACTGAATTCAGTCTCTCATTCAAAAAACCTCATACTGTTACTGAAGGTGTTGAAGAAGCAGCTACAGTTCTTAAGAAACGTCCAGTTAAACCTAAGACTCTAGACGAAGCTGGAGCAGAACTGTCCATAAAGCGCCTGGAAGAAGAATACGAAGAAGGGGAAGACATTGAAGAGTTTTTGGTTAGCCAAAGGGCCAAGCCAAAGCCACTGCAAGTTACCGATGAAGAAGACCAAGAGTACACTATCAAAAAGCTCAAACGTCGCAAAAAGGTGGAAATTCCTGAATTCTCTGATGTTGAAAATGTTACTTTCCGACCAAAGACTACTAAGACTAAAGAAGATGTGGACCAAGAGTTCAATATTGCTTTAGACTCTTATGCCGAGGAGGAAGTGTCAATGTCTGGAAAGGTGAAACTTAAGAAACCAATTAAGATGACCTACTCAGAAGCCACTGATGAGGCAAGGATTAAAATCTTACAAGATTATGATGACGGTGAAGGTCCAATAATTGAAGAAATACATGACGATGAAGATACTATTGATGAAGTTGAAGAGCCAGAAGAGTACATGGTTGAGGAGCTTCCACCAGACGAGGTTGACTTTAAACTAAAATCGAAAAAGCAGCCCAAGCCACACTATTCAGTCCAAGACGAAGAAGAGGAACAATTTCTCATTGGTCTTCGACATGCTAAACGTGATTCAGTGACGTACGATGAAGATTCTCTAACATTCAAAAAGAAACGTAAAATCGTGCAACAACTCTTCAATGAAGGTAAGTTTTGTTCCGGGTTATATTACTGTAACTTTTATAATTATCAAGCTGAATTAATTTCTCATTCGATTAAATTTGCACATCTGCTTATATGGCAATAGCTTAGAAAAATGAGGTAAAACGACCCAAAACACATAAATGTTAGTAGCTAACGCATAACTATCCATTATGGCCACCTTTAGATGTACTTCTTGTGCTCACCTAATTTAAACTCTTTTGGAAAAATATATTAATATTTATATCTTATTCATCGAATAGATGGCGCTTCTCTTAACATTACTAGGGAAATGGATGTGGAAGGTAAATATTTTGATTATAGCTACAGACACGATAAAATAAATTTCAATCAATTTTAGAATCTCAATTCGAAAACATGTATTCTATTTGCAATTACATTGCTGATAACGATGAGGCAATCAATTTGGTAGAGGGTGAAAAGGTACAGGTTATTGGACGTCATAGCTCTGAATGGTGGTATGTCAAGAAGAGCATTACGGAAGAGGAAGGTTGGGTGCCTGCCCAATATCTTATGGAGCCCGCGGAGTATGCTCAATATGTGCAGAATAAGCTGCATGAAAAGATTGATAAGCTACCCGTGTTTGAAAGTAAGTTCTGCATATAAACCTAAATGTTAATATCTAACAATACTTGTTGGCATTGTCCTGTCATGTTATTAACACTTCTTCTTAATGTCTTGTGATTGGGTGTTTATTAAGGACCTGGACCTCAAGACAAGCCGATAGCACCGCGATTCATTGAAAAGTTACAACCAATACACACACCTGACGGTTATACAGTGCAATTCGAGTGCAAGGTCGAAGGTAGTCCGAGACCACAGATCGCTTGGTTCCGCGAAACAGCCATCATAAAACCCTCACAGGACTTCCAAATGTTCTACGATGAAGACAATGTGGCCACATTGATAATTCGTGAAGTCTTCCCCGAAGACGCTGGCAAATTCACTTGCGTGGCCAAGAATGCCGCTGGTTTCACTTCAAGTACAACCGAATTGATTGTCGAGAGTCCGTTATCGGATCATGGTTCAGATGCCACGGCACTTTCGCGCAGGAGCATGTCGCGTGAATCTTCCTTGGCCGATATACTTGAGGGTATACCGCCAACATTTTCGCGTAAGCCAAAGGCCCAATATGTTGATGAAGGTACCAATGTAATCTTGGAGTGCCGTCTTGTTGCGGTGCCCGAACCTGAGATCGTTTGGACCTTCAATGGTGAAGACATTGATGAGGAGGAGATTAAAAATATTCGGATTGTTACCGAATCGGATATGCACATGTATTGCAGCGTTGTGCATATTACAAAAGTTAAGAAATCTCAAGAGGGCACATACGAAGTTATAGCCACAAATCGTGAGGGCGAAGCTCGTTTGCCCATCACATTAAAGGTTCGAACCTCGGACAAAGAAGCTCCTCAAATTTTGGAACCTTTGCGTAATATGGTGATACGTGAGGGTGAAAGTGTTGTGCTCTCTACACAAATTGTTGGTAATCCAGTGCCAAAGGTAACCTGGTACAAGGATGGCAAGCCCATTAAGAATGCCAAATCAGAAAAAGACTTACATACCCTAACACTGATTACACCAAAGAAGTCGGAGAAGGGAGAATACACAGTCAAGGCTGTCAATCCGTTGGGCAGTGTGGAAACCACTGCTTATCTCACAATTGAAGGTACGTTACGTGTTCAATGTTCATCGAGAAGCATACATTTTCTGTTCTGCCTTAATAGCAATAATAACATATTTCTTTCCCCACCTAGAACCCACCAGTGGTAACGCAGAGCCTCCATTATTTGTGGAGCGTTTCGAGGAGCAATCGGTACCGCAAAAGGGCGAGATTCGCTTACCTGCTAAGGTTTCGGGCAATCCAGTTCCTGAGGTACAATGGCTGTTCAACAATAACCCATTGTATTCCAGCGAGCGAGTACAACAGATTTATGATGGCGAAAATATTGAGCTCATTATACAAAATGCAAATCCAGAAACTGATTCGGGTGACTACAAGTGTATTGCCAGCAATCCCATTGGCAAAACATCACACGGTGCACGTGTGATTGTTGAGGTCGATGAGGTGACCTTTACCAAGAAGCTGAAAAAGACTATTACTATTGAGGAGGTGCAATCCCTGACATTGGAATGTGAAACCTCTCATGTGGTCTCAACCAAATGGTTCTTCAATGGCAAGGAGCTGAGCGGCATGGACCATCGCGTTGTCGTTGAGGATGGCAAGACGCACAAGCTGGTAATCAGGAATACAAATCTACGCGATTCCGGTACATATGTATGCAAGGTAAAGAAGCAAGAGACGCAATCAACAGTGGAGGTGCTGCAGCGTAAGCCAGACTTCCTTAAAGTGCTAGAAGACTATGAGGTAACCGAAAAGGACACAGCCATTCTCGATGTCGAGCTGACAACAGAAGCTGTAGAGGTCACCTGGTACAAGGATGGCGAAAAAATCACACCTGAACACAAAAACTGTGAGTTCATCAAGGATGGAAAATCGAGGCGCTTAGTTATACGCGATACTACAATTCATGATGAGGGCGAGTACACGTGCAAGCTAGAGGGCCAGGAGTGCAGCGCTGAGCTTACGGTCATTGAACTGCCACCAGAGATTGTAAAACACTTGGAGGACGTCAACGTAACAAAGGGTGAAAATGCCACATTCAACATTGAGCTGAGCAAGGGCGATGCACTGGTGAAATGGTTCAAGGATGGCAAAGAAATCAAGTTCACTGAGCGCATACAGCTGGCAATTGATGGTAAAAAGCAATCACTGCGTATTCTGAAAGCCAAGCCTGAAGATGTAGGCGAGTATTCCATTCAGGTGGGAGAGCAGACATCCAAGGCGAAACTGACAGTTGAAGAGCCATTAGTCGACTTTGTGCTTCGGTTGCCCGACGTCACGCTGGCTACCAAGACCACAGATGCTGAATTCACAGTCGAGCTCTCTCAGCCCGATGTGGAGGTTACCTGGTACAAGAAGGGCAAGCCCATCAAGCCGAACAAGAAGCATGAGGTCTTCGTTGAGGGCACTGTTAGGCGTCTGGTTATTCATGATGCCAGCGACGATGATGCGGGTGAGATCAGCTGCGTTGCCGAAAACGTCACCAGCAGCAGTAAGCTGTGCGTTGAGGAGCTTAAACTGCCGCCCGTGATTACTTCTGACAAGGATCAAACCATCAAAGTGAAGGAGAACGAAGACGCTACATTCACTGTCAAATACACAGGCGCGCCCACACCCGAAGCTGAGTGGACGTCGCGCAAGATTGTCATTCCCAAGTCAAAGCGTACTATTCCCACTATAGATGAACAATCCGCAACTCTGACCATCAAGAAGGTTGTCGACGATGACGAGGGCGAGTACACGGTTAAGCTTGTAAATCCTGTAGGTGAAGCAGAAGCCAGCCTTCGTTTGGTCATTATGCGTAAGTATAAAAAATTAGTTACAAATTAAGCGATGCGGAAATTTAGACCTATGTCAAAACTTTAGGCAAACCCACGGCGCCAGGCACACCACAGCCTTTGGAGGTGATGCACGATTCAATTACACTTTATTGGAAGGCCCCGGAGGATGATGGCAAATCTGAAATTATTGAATACATTCTGGAGTATCATGATGTAAAGGAGGAAAAGTGAGTAATATGAAGCTAAAAACTTTAAATACAAGTAACATAATTCCTTTTATAGATGGACTGAGATACGCAAGATTAAAGATACAACATATACAATCAGCAAGCTGAAGATCGATACAGAATACGTATTCCGTTCGATTGCAGTCAACGAAGTTGGCCCATCACCGCCCTCACCCATCTCGTCGCCCATACGCCTGATGCCTAAGGTTGAAACCGAAGCACCCAGCGTACGTGAGCCTTTGCAGGATATTGTCAGTGATCTAAATAAGGAGATGACATTGTCCTGTGTGTTCGGCGGCATTCCAGAGCCAAGTGTCACATGGAAAAAGAATGGCCAAGTCTTCGAGTCGAGTAGCTTGCGCTACGAGAATCGTGTTGCCAAATATACCATTGAAAAGACAACTATTGAGACTGAAGCCACATACACATGCGTGGCTACGAATGAGAAGGGCTCCGTGGAGACATCGTGTAAACTAAAACTGCAGCAGAAGCCAGTCGTGGAAATTGAGGAGAAGTATTTGTCCCAAAAACTGCGCACTGGCAGCACTCTCACCATTCCAGCAACAGTTCGTGGCTATCCACAGCCAACTGTGACCTGGCACAAGGAGACTGTCGAACAGAAGTCTACCACCAAGGAAATCACCATTGAAACCACAGAGACCAGTTCCACCTACACCCTTAAGAAGGTAACACGCGAACACTCTGGACGCTACAAGGTGACGGCAACAAATGAATCAGGCTCCAGCTATGCGGAGTGCACGGTTCAAGTGATTGACAAGCCAAGCAGGCCACAATCCCTGGAGATTAAAGATATTAAAAAGGATTCTATTACCTTGGAATGGACGCCACCTGTCGATGATGGTGGCATGGACATTAAGCAGTATACGCTGGAGAAATGCGATGTACAGAACAATGTCTGGATGAAGGTTTCAGATTTCGATAAGGACATCAACTCGTACGCCATTCAAAAACTTTCCATGAATGCGCAGTACATGTTCCGAGTGGTGGCTATTAACCCCATAGGTGAATCGGAGCCAACGGAGAGTGAGACTGTGACCATAACTAAGAGGTTTGGTATGTATACGCAAATAATATGTAATATGTGACAGTTAAGAATACCAACTCCTTTTGACTTGCAGAAAAACCAACTCCACCACGTGATCCTACCTCGGTGTCTGGCATGAACGATACTTCATTTACATTATCCTGGGAGCCATCGGAGAGTGATGGTGGTTCCAAGATAATTGAATACATTGTGGAAATAAGGGAAGAGACTGAAACCGTTTATCGCTCTGTGGGCACTACAGCGGGCACTGTAACAAACATTCAAGTTGAAAAAGTTGTGAAAAACAAGGGCTATCTGTTCCGGATCTACGCTCGAAATGAGGTTGGCACCAGCGACGCGTTTGAGACAACAGAAAAGATTGTTGTTGGACGCAAGATAAGTAAGTGACAAGAAATACTCAGAATGATGATTGCCTATTGCTTATTGCTGCTTTGCACATTGCTTTCTCTCTTAACGCCCACTAATGCTTCTCTTGCGCCATGAAAAAATATTTAACTAAGCAGCCACTAATTATGAAAACATGGGTATGTTATAGACGCCATATAATGCCATCAGTCGTTTTAGTAGTTTTTCATAATAATCATTTTAATGCACTCTATTTTAGCGCCGCCATCGCCGCCCCAAAATCTGAGAGCACCGGATGTAACGAGTCGCAGCGTAACTCTCGATTGGGAGGTGCCAGCCAGAAATGGTGGTTCAGAAATAACAGGTAAAAATATTAATAATAACAATACTCTATAAGGAAAATAATTTGCTTATTAATTAAAAATGTACTAATATACAAACTATAAATATAGGCTATTGCGTGGAGAAACGCTCCTCAACATCAACGAGCTGGTCAAAGGTTATTACTTTGGATGCACATCAACTGCACTATACCATAGACAATTTGAAAGATAAGTGCGAGTATTGGTTCCGTGTGTCAGCGGAGAATGAGGTTGGATTAGGTGCACCAGCCGTCACAGAAAGCATATCGCTAAAGACACATGCAAGTAAGTTGAACGTGGGCAACGTCTTATAAGAATTCTAATCCTTCATCATTTTTTAAATAGCCGTACCATCGCCACCAACTGCTCCACTGGAGGCGCGAGTTCTTGCGGCCAATGCCCACGTATTCGAATGGGGTATACCCGAGTCAGATGGAGGTGCGCCACTGCTCGGCTATCACATAGCCATACGTGACATGAAGAAGTCCATGTGGATTGAGGTTGGTCGGGTGCCAGCGGGTGTGCAGAAATTCCAGATAAGAGACTTGCAAGAGAATCACGAGTATATGATACGTATATTCGCTAAGAACGAGATTGGTCTGAGTGAACCTCTCGAGTCAGAGGAGCCATACAAAGTCATGACTGCAGGTATGTAGACGCATTTATTGTTTATGCCTTTGTTTCCGTAATGCTAATACCTTCTCTATGCAGGTCATGCCAGCCTGCCCGACGAGCCACGCACGGAGATGAGCACATGCAACACATCCTCGTGGCTACGGGATCACAATATGGATGCCGATATACACTCGTATGCGCGCGGCAGGCTGCTTCAACGCGATGAGTACTTCTTCCGCCTCTGGGCGCAAATGCCCAAGAAGAAGAAGAGCTCAAAGTAGACAAAAACAAAAACAGAAACAATAACAAAAACTCAAGCAAATAGCCATGACAAAACGAATGAAATTTAGGTTAGGTTAAGCATATTTCAATTGTATTTTAATGAATTCTTGATTTTTATTAGCTTTTTTTTTATTACTTTTAATGTACCCATGTAAAGAGCATGTAATGTTCGGATTTGCGTCCAATAACAACGATGTCCACGAAACTCAATCAGAAAAGGGCGAGCGAAGACAAACTTAATGTTTTGAGTGCGTGGACGTGGCTGTTCGATTGTGACGTCACTGGCCCATTACATAATCTATGAAAGAAATTTATATTTTTAATTTGCATAAATTCGTATAATTTCCTTCGCTTTATTTTTGTAAGCTGTGATAAATTTATCAATTTCGAAAGCGTCAAACGATTAAATGCCATGACATTTGTGCCACGACACATCGCGCATCGGGCAGCGGGCAGCCAACGGGCCAGCAACCAGCAGCAGTAGAAACAACAACAACAACAACCACAACAACAACAACCACAACAACCAACAACAGCACACAAGAACAACAAGAACCGTTACAACACAATACAACACAAGTGACTCAATATCCTCTAGGGAGACAAACAACAAATGGTGCAATTCGATATGAGTTACGAGTATGTTGTGTATGTGTGTGTGTATGTTGGTCTGTCTGTGAGTGTATGTGTGTGTGTGTGTGTACGAGTGCTGCGTTGTGCGTCGCGCTGACTGGACCTTGCCTTTGCCGTGTGCTCGCTGTGAGCAAATTTATGGCATCCAGAGGGTTACATAACTATACTTATATTGTGGAAGAGCCCAACATGACTTTAAAGAAACAAAACTAAATGAAAAACAAACAAAGTAAAATAAATATGAATAAATTTTTAACGAACAACTTCAAGTGGTTGATTCTTGGTGCAAGCGCAACTTTTGCGCAGTTGAGCACGTAAAATCAACTAATTAATTCATTAGTTAGTTTTGGTCGAGTCTAAAAAGAGAAGAGGCGAAGTTAACGTTAAGTTTGCACAGGAAAGTTTTCTATTAAGTTTTTATTCTAAAACTTAAAGTCGACAGCCAAACAATGGCAGCTTCGAGCTGGCCATGCTGACATGCGTGTGCAGGACCCAAGAGAAGCATCTGAAATGGGGACAGAGGGCATGGAACAGTGGCTGAGAGATACCAACACTAGGGCTACAGTTACGCGTCGTTGAACTTATCTGGTGACATGGGCAACTGCTGCATAAAGTTTCCAGAGAGAATTGTGTGCGAATTTAATTAAAGTTTTTGCGGCTGCCACTAATCAAAAGATATTATCTAAAATGTTCTATGTGGTAGTTACTTTGGCCGTTGGCAAATAACTTTTTGCTGCGGGCACAACTGTAATTTACACTAAGCTGCTTGCGGCCACAGTGGACACCAACTGGGTTGTGGCTAAGCATCAGAAAGTAAGCTGAAAATGGATTCATAAAGCTAAACATATTTCCGGCACTTTAAATTGCGCACAAGCTAACGAACAGTTCACTATTCACATGGCTGCCTCTCTGCACAGCAACAACAACCAAATAAACCTACCTATAACAACACCTACAACTGCTATTGATACCGACTGGCAGGAAGGCAGCACTAAACGATCGGCCAGTGGTTCTGGGACCTGCTCTTGGTCTTCGTCTTGGTCCTGGCCTGGTCCTTTGGAGAGCGCCTGTCGCTTATTTCGAGGGCTTCCAATGCCCCGGCACAGAAACGGAAATTTCATTTACTTGTTTGCTTTTTATGCGCTTCATTCGATTTTTGCTTGTTTCGTTGTTCTCCGATTTTATTTGTGCTAGATTCAAGCCGCCAGCTTAGCTGACTTTTCACACACACATTTTATAACTTAAATTTTCGGAATTGCTAGAATTTTCTTGTGTGTTGCCTTAAAGCCCTCCAAGTGCTTCTGCTGCTGCTGCTGTCTGTCGCAAGGCTCGTATGCCCATTTGTTATGGTTTATTAATGCCACTCCAAACTTGGCCAGAAAGTCGGCCTAACACAATTGTAAACTTGTAATGGCATTCGGCAAGTTCGGAGCATTGCTTGTAAAAACAAAATTACACATAAACTTTATGGTGTGCACGTAGAAAATTGAGGCAGCACTTTTTCCTTGACACGGCTCGTCAAACGTGATATCGCCTGCCCAAGACCTAAACCAAAGATGTAGGAAATAAAACAAAAAGACAGCAAAAAGTTTGCCTAATTAGTTCCCAAAATAATAAACGATAAAAGCATGGAAAACCACATTCCTAGATTTCAGGCATGCCCAAATGCTAAAAACATCTGCAGGTTTTGTCATTTCACGGTTGTGTGTCAAATAAATTGAATTATCAACTTGTACGGCAGCTCAAAGCAATTAGATGTTAGCACTGATGCGAACCAAATTAGCGAATCAAAGACAGAAGTCTTAATTGGTTTCAAGTTTTCAATTTTCCAAGAATATCTTAGGAAAAATGGCTAAGAAAAACAAATTCAATGAATTTTTCTTAGTATTAGAATAAGTATGATTCAATTATAGACTATTTACTAACTTTCCAACTTATTTAAACAGCTCAGCTAACTGGTCTTCGAGTGAGATACGAAGCTATTCGAGTTCTAGCTTGGATTCGAACTCTTCTATTAAGGTCTTCTGAAATACTGGACTTAATGTTCAAATCTAAATCGGTTAAGTATCAACAAAGTTAAAGGATAACCAGCCGGACATCCCACCACTTTGTTTTGTATTAGCTAAGCGGGCAATAAAGCTGTTAAATATACAGTTTAAACATAAAAATCATAAAACGAACCAAATTAGTTTCTTAGATTACAGAACGCACATTTAGTACTTACTTCTGCTAACAAGAATGATATATGTTTTTATATAAAGACTTGTAGACTTGGGTATTCGTAATTGCCCCAAGAAAGTTCGTGTCATAAAATGTTCATTTCCGTTCATGTTTATTGCCCAAAAATAAGCGCCCGAAAGAGTCGCTAGGCCGCAGATTAACTGATGCTTTATAAAAGTGGGTCGAATTATAAAAGTATCTGCAGTTATTTACGGCGCAACACGGTCCCCAAATAGCACCAAAATGACAAGCCAAACTGCTGTATGTATAATTGCCCAACACAGCACTGCCCGGAGCCATGAGCCACGCCCATTAAATACAAAATGCAGCGCCATGAAGCCAAAAAAGACGCAACCTCCGGCCTGCAGCATGGCCGATTACTGTAGCCAGCGGCAGGCGATTGGGTCGAGCTATTGGTAAACTTAAATGTACACACATCTGCAGGTCTTCAGCAAAGTTAAGAAAACATTTTGTGTTCTGGCGAATTGTTAATGCTCTCTTGTTTATGTTAAGCAGGAAAATTATTATTGAACTTAAGCAGCTTTTATTTATCTTTAGTTTAATGGAAGTATTTTGGTCATATGGTAGACTGATATTTATTTCGCATCTTGAAAAAATCCTTTGCCTCGATATACCCTTCATGCATACCAAAGCATACTGTAAATATAAAATATTTATTGCCAGATTGCACATGCTGTTGGCATGTCCTTCGGGCAGCAACAGCTACAGCAGCACAGCAGTATGCTTCCAGCTGCCAGCTGATATGTATACAATGTCCTTTCAGACTTATCCTTTCCTTTGACTGCACCGACATCCGAAACAAGCATTTTACACGCATTTTACCATTTTTGCTGGCCAATTCATAACGTTTAACAGATCGGAGCAGTCAGTAAAAATAGTCTTACACTTTACAATTTAATAGAGACATTTTTGGTACAAATTAACAGCACATATAATCTGCCCCTTCAACACCCTCCTGAGGCCACATTTAAAAATCAAGTGTGCTGAAAATTAAATTTCGTACAGCGAAGCAGGACAGCAATTCAATGCAGTGCAAGGACATTCAGTGGCTTCCAACCAAAAACTAATGAAACTGCTGCTCCTATAGCTGCTGCTGCTGCTGCTGCTGCTGCTATTGCTGCTATTGCTGCTATTGCTACTTTCCAGCTGCCGACTGTCGCACACGCCTGCTGCTAGCACGACATTTCATTGGAGTGTCATGTTTCCCCCCCACACACAGACACACAGATACACAGTAACATTTACCAACTTCTGTGTGCATGCATGACTTTTAAAGGCAGCGCAATTAAAGTCAATTGGCATTTTACCAAAATGTGTTCGACGTGGCGTATACGTAATGTCATTTAAGTGTCTATGTGTGGTGTCAACAGCATTAGCTTGCGTTGAATATAGTTATTAGCACGTCTCTGGCAACACAAATAGTTTCATAATTTATTAGCAACACCCAAACACGGAATTCGACATTGCGCATACGCCGCATTTGCCAGGCATAAATTAATTCATTTTCAAGGCAAAACTTTATAGTTATTTAGGTGTCTCCTTCCTTTGAACTCATACCAATTTTATGGTGTCTTTTAGTATATTGTTTGCCAATTTAAAATATCAACAACAACATCAGGCAATGAACTGAAATTTCTGTATTTCATTTCGCTCTGCTAGAAGTTTTACAGCTCAACTAGGTGCTGCAAGCTGATGTTTGTTTTATGGACTTTTTGGGTCCTTATCTCATTCCAGTTTATTTTATAATGTACTCATAAAAGTTATGCGCTGACTAAAACCAGAAAGACATTTGCATTTTTTACACACACAAACTTTGATTTGGCAGTTTGACTGATTAGCTCTCATTATACAGCTCTTGACATTTACGAGCATATTTTGGACAGCAAATAAACTTAGCTAGATTGACGAAGCATTCACAAATTGAATTCGAATGAGGATTTTCCAGCTATTGAGCAAAGTATAAAGTCCATATATCGATGGAGTACACTTTAATGGTTTCCTCTATGCAAAGTATTTATTGAGTTTTGGAATTAAAAGAAGCTTTAAGTTTATGTCCTGATAGTTTATGATTTGTATCTAATAATGGACATTATTTACTTGGAGTTATTTACCAATTTTTCTTCTCAACTAGCGGTTAAATGTCAGCTTTTAGCTACTTTACACGACGTTGACTTAATTTGATGCAAGTTAGTTCCATTTGGCCATTGCATAAATGCATCTTAATGCCGCCCATTTGGCAGGGCGGTAGCTGGGGTACGTTAAACAGATTTGCACCTTGCATATAAAGCCAAATTTACAAGCTGTAACGAAAATTGCAACGCAAATATGCAAATAACTATGAAGCTGCCCCAGCAGCAGCAGGTGAAAGGAAAAAGCGACCCTCGCTTAAATTTTGGGCAACTTGGGAGGGCCAAACAAAAAAGTTGATACTTGGTTTGCCAGGAAATCGTTTGGCAAGCGGAAAATTCAGCTGAAAATCAAGCTGTTATGACTCTGTGTGTGTGCGTGCGTGTGTGTGTAAATGTGTGCTTGTGTGTGTATGGGCAATGTACAAACGTGTTGGGCAAATCGGCAAAGATAAGCATGCAACAGCAAACAAAGCTGAATTCAGCTGCATTCTTGTTGCAGCTCTACAGCTCTAGCTGCCATTTGCAACACAGTTCACAGTGGTAAGTGGGAGTAGGAGTAGGAGTGCGAGTGCAAGTACTCAGGCTGTTTACGTGCTTATCGAGCATTCGATGGCAAAATTATAGCCGTACCATGGCATGAGTAAGCTGCTTAGAATGCACTGCCAGCCGGCCAGCGTGGCGTATGCGTGCTGTCTTTTCAGAGATGTTCAAATGTTTTTGCAGCATATTAAATCGCCAGTGTTGCGTTATTGTTCCTCTATATAGTTACACACGGAACGCAAGGTTGGGCGCGCAGCAAATTGTAGCAAAAGCTGCGATTTATAGTGCCACAAGTTATAGGCAGCTGCTGCCACCCCGCAGTCCGGGTAGATAGAAAATGCGTGGATATGTGT